GCTGAAAGACTATATTTTCAAATTGCCTTATCGCAAAGTTAAATTACAACTCGGACCCCTGGGATAAATTACATGGAACTGTCGTCTCACATAACATAACTTATTAATATTCGTTTAGATATCGCCGATATCATTTCAGCTACCAAATAAGTCATGCCAAAGAGAAAATTGTAATGCAATGTCCTGTATTCAATTATATATAATTAGCTAGAATGATACTGAAAATTATCATACGTATAAACCGTGACCGAATTCATATTATTTTAAATATCAAAACTCATAACAACAAGGGCTATCATATGTAGCAACAATTAGGCTATAACTGAGGATTTCTACAAATATAATTCAACTAGATAATTAAATCACCTGCAGTAGCAAGGTTAAGGTCACAGAAGAAAATATGCCTTTCGAATTTAATTATTCTTTAGTTATTTATTATTTAAATTTTAAAGTGAATTTTTGATATTTTGTTTCCATGGTTCTATCCTGGTACAAGATAATTAAAAATTTTCACCCATTTAGTCATACAATGTTTGACTAGAAATACAAGTAGTCTTCCAATATTGCTATATGGTTGTCTCATGGGCTATAATATAGCATAGGAAGCCATAGGACAATACCTACTATAACACCCACGACATGGGAATATTCTTTCGCGCCTGTATCAATAATTTAATTGAAATTTATTTCCAAAATTTATTCTATTGTGGCAAATAATGAATTAAAATAAGATATAAATCCTAGTTTAGATTAAAAAATCAACAATCAAGACTATAGCATTATTAATATTACTTGGTGATACTGTATTATTAAATGTAAAATTATAATGAAATGAAGATACGACTAAATATTTCCATCGTCTGTTTGTAAAGCATTATTCTTTTGTTAAAATCGCTTCCTCTACTCTAATAGGTTTATTTTTAATTTAATGTTACTATATTAGTTCAAATACGTAGATTAGCAATTTTTGTTATTGTAACTAATTACTATAACTTGTAAAAATCTCAAATTTAAAGGATAATCTTTGTCCTATTATATGGCAAAAAAATTATCTAATGCTGTAATTTTCGAATACTACTCCTTTTTGATATATTATTAGCAAATTAATCAATGCTAATGGTGGAAGAAATTTAAGTGCGTGCTTGGATGAGAATAAGACGGTGTTCACATTATACTATTTGAAATTAATAATCTTAAAATTATATTTAATAGTAAGCTAAAGTACTTTTGCGTTTGAGGATGAAAGTAACTGAAGTTAATAACGTATAGAGCCAGATGTTTAGTTAGATTGTAGACAATACATGGCGTCTCTTATTATCGGAAATGTAGTATAATATCATGAATAATATTTAATGGTAGCATATATATATATTTAGGGTTTAAAATTGATAGTATTCAGGTCTCATAAATTTTTTTTCAATTCAGCTGGTTAGCTCCGACGTCATTACTTACAATTACTTACTCCCAATTTTTGTAATTATGAGCGCCCTTATTAAAGTGAAAGAAAAATGCTGCATTTGCTCGACGAAAGAAATAGACTAGTTCCTTGGAATTGATTGTTACATTGATAGATGAAATTCGTGACATTTTGCACTTCATTGCTCCAAACCGCTAAGTAATAACTAAATAAAAAACAGCTGATGGTATAGAATAGATGATGACATTCTTCCAGCTAGGAAGTTATTAAAACCATCAACAATAACCTATTGTAAATACAAATCTGATGAAAGCTATTGTTTAGCAAGACGATTAGAAATGTCTACGACGATCATTTCCTCGATTAAAAAACAGATTCATCTACCATTATAATGAAAAAATAGCTACTTGTCCCTATCGTAAGATCATCATTTCCATTCTTATAATCAATGCAAATCAATTAAAAATATTAAAATAATGCAAAGATAGGATTGGCCATACTTCATTTAGTATTTTAATTTTTTGATTTCAGTTTACTTGATGTTGATCTATCCGTGCCCTTACTTTATTTAAGTTCAATTTTGTATTTAATTTATACTGGTTAATATCTAGCACTCTTCTTGATCAATCTATTCAATTATATTATGCCAGCTATCTTTCCTTGCGATTAATAATTAATCAAGCTCTAGGTGTGGGAAAATAGGTCACTTGACCTATTTTCAAGTTGACAACAATTCAATTGTAATCATTCTTTTATTCTTTCTTTCTGCACATAATTTTAATCAATTTAGCCAATTATTAATTGGACACCATAGCTAGTTAACACATCTATCGAACTGAAGTTATAAATAATTGTATTGATTTCAATTTTTAATAAGTATGAGTCACTAAAATAGCATCTTCAGGATCTATCTGTTTATTGTTAAAGTACGACAACTATTCTGATCAGTTAGATAAGTTCTAAATTGACTTTCTATTCTGTTGCCATATCAAGAAGCGATAGTTGAAATATTAACAATAATATTAGAACTTTAGTTGACCCTTATCCCCTCTTAATCACGAAAATTAATGTAGATAACTGAATATAAAATCTGTACAATATTTAACTTTAAATTAATTCTGCCTTTTAGCCCTAATTATAACGGTGGTACATGATTTAGCTCAATTCCTGCTAATACTGAAATGAAAACAATATGAGTCATCAGATGCTTATGAATAGCATTGAATTAAAGATTAATTTAGGATAGAATAAATTTCTTTGGATATTCGGTAATGGCAGTAATCCATTATATTGTTTGCAATTAATTCAAGAAAGTTGTACATATAGCCAGCATATCTAAATAATCCTTAAAATCAGTATCCACTTATCAGAAATTGCAGTATTTTGAAAAGAATATAGATAAGTTTTTCAGAGAGTAATAAATTTGACTATTAACTATTATTATCGCAATAGCTATGATTATGACGATATTAGTTCTATACGAGAAAAAATAGAAAGTCAAATAATCGGTTTTAATACTTAGTTAATTTCGATTAACGTACGAGTTAAATAGTTTATTTCTTCATCCCTTATCAATAATACCATTCAACTGGATGCGTAGTAGCTATTAGATGTACGTTTAAATTTTGACCTATAATATAAGTATTTATCACGTAATCATATTTTTTATTTTTTCAGTTTAGATGAATATTACGGTCAATTCTAATATAGTATACAAATAATTTCCAAGCAAAGAATATAATAAATATTCATCACAAGTTTATAATCAATTTTTTAATATTAATATATTTTTACTCATCAGACATAGACAACAACAACAAAAGTGATCAATGGAATAAATAACAATGATTACAATTAAAGCAATATGCTTAAGGGATTGGTAATTAAGATTTTATTATGAATGTGTGAATAGCAAATTCATTTAGTCTCATATATGGTAACAACAAAAAAATCATTTTTGGGGCTATATCATTTCTTTATCTTGATTACATTATCCATCATTCTATTCACTATTAAGGTCAAGAATCAAACCAAGGACATAAATACTTCCTTGAATCACTTTTCAACGTCATTTCACAATCAATCACTTTGGAGGCAAAAGTCGCCAACATCTACTTATAAATACGTGTACATTCCGGTCTATATATACATAAAACTAATTAGTATTAAATGGCTAAATTATTGCTTCTACTTTGGCAAATTATTTTAATGTAAGTTATACTATCTTTCATTTTCACAGCATTTAAATTCCTTTTTCTCTAGTTGTACGTTATAATATTACAGTTACTAAATAAGAAATGAATTAAGTAAGTAGAATTTATTCTCATCGAATCAATAGCTTATCTTCAATATTTTATGATTATGCAGTAGAAATAGATTCAGAATCGTATTTCTTTCCTTATTTTACTTAACCACTCCCTATCGAAGAAACTTTTTCCAATCTCGATTAATAATCAGATCAAATGTAGTAAATTATTCGATATTTAAATAATTTTCTATACGCGATATCAACCATAAAATCAATTTATAATAGTTTGTATTTGATAATTTACTTTGATATTTTATAAACTTCAAATTGAATCTCGGTGAGATAACTAATCCCTACTTTCGTTTGAACCTATTTTTCTCGGGACACGTCGTTCATTTCTGAACAACTCTTTCATATCACTGTCATCATTTACTGCATCTGCCCTACACTTCCCAATTTACGGACATTAATTTCTGCAGTTGAATGTGGATAGCCAATTTTACCTGTATCGCACTAAAATTAGCTGTTTGCTACGTAAATAATTGATATAGGTTGGTTTTTAGCCAGATTATTGCTTATGTGTGTGTATACTATACCTCATTTTATAGACTATTTGTATCTATTAGGGCAGTTGTCAGATGTTATAAAATAAAAGCACTTCTTTTCATTATGTGGGTTGAATATGGTTAAGTAATGATTAATATCACTACTGTCAGAAGGAAAAGTTGGCAATCTTTTTTCCAATAGGTGCAGTAGATTCAACGACAGCGCAAGTTATATTAGAATTACCATTCATTACTGACATACGTCTAAATGCTTTGATACTGAAGTAGCGATTTATATAGCAATAAGCAATAAACTCATAATACCACTTCATACTGTTCATCCCGTTTTGTTCTCTATTTTGATATTATTGTACTTAATTAACAACTGTGTCTTTATCTAACAACTATTATTCCAATATTGGGTATAATCTACGTGGGAAAAGTAAAATATTATGACTGATGAAGTTCAACAGTAAAGTAAAAATTAATTGTTTCTTACAAAATTTAGATCGAACAACATCATCATTGATTGCTTTCTATCTGATAAATTATCTTGGTGTGATTACCTTTATACTTTATGCACAATATTCTTGATTGAATAATGCAAGATTATCTAATGTTAATCCCGCAACGTCGGTAGTTATTTGATATAGACCAATTAAAGTCTACCCCAATTCAAATTATTTTATTTACTTATTTTTATACTAACAATTTATTACTCGTCTTTTATTCAATTTCTAGCTACACAATCACTTCCATCTATTATGGTGAAGGAATTTCTAAAGATGCTATATGCTACACTATACTGGGTCGGCAAAATCCAAAATTTCTGGAATTTTGCCAGGATCATCCGGGTGTTGTAGCTTCAGTATTATCTGGAGCTAGTCTTGCTACCAGTACATGCAAGAATCAATTACGATACGATATGTGGGGGTGTTACGGCGTTAATGACAAAATAACGTATTACCAAAAGCGAAGGCTTCCAGGTTAATATCTATTTATAAATTCATATTTTATTTCCTATAATACGGTATAATAACCAGTTGAATTATTGTTCGGATTCAAGAACATGTTGACGCAAAAAGAATTATTTTTTTTTGTTCTATATTAATTGTAGTCATGTTATTGTTTTTAGTTTCCAGCTTTCTTCGTTTACTTTAATTGAATACCCTTTGATAGTTAAGAATAGCAGCTAGTATTTAGGAATTTTAGCTAAAAATCGTTTTAAACAAACATTCAGTATTCTTGAGATTCACATTAAAGCTTACCCTGAATTAGTTGTCTTTACAATTAATAATTAACTAGCTACTTTAAACATATACGTTAACATCCTAGCACATCTATATGGCAGTATCAGACTTAATAGATCTCTAATTTAAGCCATTAATGCTTAAGAAGACAATGTTAAAGTCTTATGATTTAAGAGATTTTTTATGCATAAAACCTGTCGAAAAATGGTCCATATCATATATGTTTTATAAATATTATTTAACAAAGATATCATATAGCAAAGAAAATTGCAGCTTAATTTTATATTTATCTAAGCATGTAAATCTTAAATTTATATCATTATAATCTAACTCGGTAAATGGTGACGTTGTAAATACTCACACAATTATTTATAATAATACTAGTCCATTTCAAGAATAGCATTTTAGAATACTCTTAGTCAGGACCGTCCTTTTCTGAGGATGATCACTGATGGCAAATAAATTATCTTTATTAATTCTTGTTATAAATTATCCCTTCTATTCTATCAAATTGTCCTATTAAATTATTCTTTCTATTCGACAGGTAATCGAGAAACTGCCTATCTGTATGCATTAGCTTCAGCTGCTATTGCCCATACTTTATACCGAGACTGTTCTAAGGGCAAAATTAAAGAATGCTTATGTGATTCTCATCAATCACTTAGAAAGACTGGGGAAGAATGTCTTAGCAATGCTGATTGGAGCCTTAAAATGACTAGAACCTTTACAGATTTGTTCGAATTCAAATCTAAATCGCCAAATGCTAGAACTTTAATGAACTTACATAACAGTCAAATAGGTCGCAAGGTAATTCGAAAACTTTGATCGTAAAATCTAGCTAGCAGCTGCTTAAGTTTGATTGGCATAGTTAAAATTTAATGTACGCGTTAAAGGATCATAAAAGGTTTTATAAACATAAAGAATAATGCTATAATTATAAAATACATGTAATTACAGCATATGCGCGTAGGTACATAATATTATCAGTGGGAATCAGTAATATACTTTTGTAACACTTCATCCATTTTCTCTATTTTGTTAACATATGCTATTAATAAGGAAGGAATATTACAGAAATATGCCTAATTTATTTATTTATTTATTAATCAACTATTATGTAAACTATTTTTTATATAAAGATAACTGCGAAACATATAAAGAAGATGTGTAAATGTCATGGTACATCTACTGCATGTACTTATAACACCTGTTGGAATATCTTGGTTAGTTTCGAAGATATCGGTCAGGATTTATTGAATTTATACCGAAATGCTGCGTATATTACGAAATCAAATAAAGATCATACGCAGTTGAAGTCCAAACTTCGATCTAAATCATTATCAAAGAAACTGGTCTACCTACAGACGTCCGTCAATTATTGTCTAAGTAACCATAAAAAAAGTGGTCCGGGCACCCGCGGACGAGAATGTAAAATGTCCGTTCCTACCAGTGACCCTGGACACTGTAACAATCTATGCTGTGGGCGAGGATTAATAACGAATCTTACTATAACTAACAATAATTGTAAATGTACATATACTTGGTGTTGCCAAATGGTATGCGAAAAGTGTCTCATTACAAGATATAAATATTACTGTAAGTAAGTGAAATATCGGTGTACAATAGCTGTGAACGTATGCAGTTATCGGTTACTTTACGCGAATCTGTGACTCGCTACTAAACTATAAAATTAGGCTTAACTATGTAGTTTGTACTACTAATGCTTGATATATTATCATTACTATGCGGCCTAGCTACAATTATTTACGTGTATATTGTAATTAATCAAACCTTTCCTGCTGTTGCAGGCGAAATAAAAAAATTTAACAAAGCACTTGGTCTCATTTATTGAATAGTACAGAATCTACTCCTACTTTAAATATACTTAACCGTCGATCTTAAGTTTTAAAGTCAACTTTTCATCAAGATTTAACTTCAGATAATGTCTTTATTAACTAATTTAGTTAATCCATTAGAAGTTGTCAGTTATAAATAGAATTATTTATTCACGCTATAATATTTGCTGCGTGGCAGTAAGTCAAATCGTAGACTTTGTAATTAAATATCAAAATATCAAAAATTTAATTTTTACGTGTATCATCAGCCTTCCGTATAATGGTACGGTAAATTACGAAATATGGATACAAAAATTTAGTAGATAAAATTTATATCACTATAATTATAGCTATTCCTTATGGAATACATATTTTTATACCCCCAAAAATATTATATATCCGTACAGATTGAATAAATATCCCAAAGGTTGTGTACTGTGTTTCAAATCAGACAGTTATTAAACATATTACATACATCAGATAATAATTGGTTGTGGAATGTTTATAAATCGGGTTCTGGCATTGCGTAAATCTAGCTCGTGGTCACATTTCTGCAATCCCTAATCATTATTAGCATCATTAAAGTTGGAGGATAGAATTTTAATGATCGATATTAGACATTAATAGCATGAGAATGTCGGCTCACGGCTTGGTTTAATTCATTCAGCCACTGTTTCTTGTCGTGTTCGTCATTGACTTGAAGTAGATACTGCAACCTCTTAGAACTTGTATTGCTAACACGAATAAAATTCTTGCCTATCAATAGGCGTAAGATAAATTAATATTTTAATACTTTACTACTATATAAATAATTATGCATTTCTAAAAATTAAATTTAGCATCAACGCACTAAACAATACCTGCTCTTCCACCGGAAAGAGCATCCTTAAACGATCCCCTCAAGGAATTGGTTCGAATATTTTCGTCAGGTACATCTTCTACTGCCAGAGAAGCGACTGGTATTGGCTGAAGATATCATTAACGTAGCAAATTTGATAAGCATTTGCATTAACAAGATTATGAAAGTACAGTAAGATGATAAAATATCCAGCATAGTAAACAAAATTCATAAAACAGTCAGCATTACATGTCGGTGAACTTGATACATAAAAACTTCATTTCTTGTAGCTTGTCGACAGAGTACCAGCACTTTTTCAAATAGAAATATATGTAGTTTCTGTGATATAGAGTAAGCAAGCCTAGTCAGATCTCAAATTTACTTATAATTTCTAAGCAAAAAGAGCCAAAATTAAACTATAGAAATAAGGCAGGAAAATTTAAATAAACTGCGAATGTATTACCGTTCCTGCTTTATTTTTAACAATGCCACTGCATAGCAACAACCGTGATTCATCAATTAGTGGGATATGCTATTTCAGGCACAGCAAACAAGCAACGTTACTCAACTGCAAGAAATAGCCAGTAAACGCCTACACATCGATTACGTAATAATCTTTAACTAGTATATACAACTATTGCAGATTAACATACCTGATCATCAGTCACATAGAAGAGTTTACTCTGGATAAAGGAACACTATACCGAATGAATATTACACATATTACAAAAGTTCAAAGCAAGGCAACATCGTCGGATTAGACCTGTGGCAATTACCTTAGCCATTCCAGCTTTAATATCGACTTTCGACACGAAATTTTCAATAGAGGAAGTCTGAAAGTCCAAATGAGTTATTTAGTAATTTTATAACTCAGTGACGTATAGCAGGAACGTATTAAATATTACCGCATTTAGAAGGTAACTATAGTCAGGATGCTCAGTTGATGTCTATTCGAATGATGAAAGAGTCACGATTATTTTCTTAATAGGCGATACATATTATTTGCCATTAAAAGCCAACTTTCGCATTAAAATAGTTTACTAAATATGCCTATGATTCTGATCATATTCCTTTAGCAAGATAAAAATTTACCAATTTTGTAATATTCTTAAGCAGAAGGGAGTATTTCATCAATCTGCTGCGAGGTTTATCTAAGAATGCACAGTTTTAATAACGTGTAATTAAGTTAACAAGTACAAGAGTGGACTACAACAATATTGTCCTGAACCTAAAAAGTCCCAAACGTCTAACTTGCGGCTAAATGGAGATTGTTTACACCTCTGGATAAATTTAAAGAAACAAAAGTTCAAGTAATTTTGAAAACAAAGCAATTGAGACAGTAGAGGATATCTCCTGTACCTCTAGAAAATCAGCAACTTGTTTGTCGCGCCTTTTTTCTTCTAAGGCTAACTTGGCCGTAAACAGATTGGCACAGTAATCAAGATATGGAAGCAGCTTAGGAAACTAAAAATATATAGTACAATTATGACAACATTCTTACATCATGATGAATCTCGAAATATTTATTTACAAGTTAATTTTGACATACAGTAAATCGATAGTCATTGGTTAACATACCCAAACAATTAATGTCGTCCCTATAGAATTTACAGAGCCGTTAGCTTGCTGTAGTTCCATAATCTTCTGAACTAGATCTTTGTATAACATGTTAACAATTTAATTGGACATTATATCATGAATATAGTAGCGCAACAGTGAATTAATACAAAGTAGAAAAGTAGAAATTACCTTCATGTAATGGAGTAATCTCATGAATGTTACCAAATATTTCTTGCAATTCATTAGGTTTCAGGATTTTGAGCGTATGCATTGGATTATAATATACCTATGCAAGCAATAAAGTAACATTGAGAGCAATTATTGAGTTAGATTTGCGATTCAAATAATGAAAACAAAATGGTATTGTATTTTCATTTTTCCGTAAACTAGTAACCATACTGCTACATGCCTCTTTTAAAGTTTTGAGATCCTGCACAAGTTCAACTTCACCGCTATACAATTCGTAAATTGCTTCCTGACGCATGATCTGAATCTTGCTCATTTGGTTTGATAAATTACTCTCAGCAAAGTCGAGCCACCTCTAATTTATATTGAAGAATATTATCAGTTTTAGATTGAGTACAAAAAAGCAGTACATTAACGATCATACTTCAGCGAGAACAAATCTACAGTATGCTAATTATACTATTATGAATGCTACTTAATATCATGCTTAAACAGAACCTACTTTGCTAGCTTTAGGTTTTGTTGGCGTAGGTAAAGGAGATGGCCCTTGATACTTCCAAGCAGTAGAAAATCGGCGCTGCATGGTTTTTGGCCTAGACGGTTTTGGAGTTACTGATCTCTAAATAAGTAAATATATGCAGATACTATATATCCGTACTATAAAGCGTATACTTATAATTTACGTTAATTGTAACAGTGTTTTTAACACATTTAATGACACAAAAATGGGTAGTGAATGAAAGGATGTTTGAGAAAATATGACTTAATAACGTGTGAGTGCATATCAGTAGCAAGAAAAATACTCACATGTAATGCTTGACTAACTCGTCTTACAGGTTTTGCAGGAGACAACATACTGCTTATACGAGACAGAGGACGATGCCGTTTGCAGCTAGAAAAAGTATCCTAAATATCGGTTAAAAATATGTAATATCGATAATGAATAACGCTTTAATTGTGTTAATTTGTGTTATAAATCTAAATTTGTAACGCGAAAAAGCAAATATGTCATAGAAACTACATATTCTGAGTCTAGTGTCAGGTTTTTTTCTGACATCTACCTACAGTACGATTCTAAATACTGACGATCTCCTATCGTCAGGAGAAACAGTAACACTACTAGTCTCTTTTAGACAAACTGAACCTAAACTTTATTGAGAAATCAGCCATTTAAAGTAAAGAAAATTTACATAAACATTAATTATCAGTTTATAGATAATGTTATACAACAATGCAGTTATCTGTTAAAAATAATATAATTTTTAATATAAACGCATTCCTAGATAACTTATCTTATGGAAACTATGTTACGACAGCTATACAAAAGCTACTCCGTAACAATGTTATATCACTATAATAACTTATACGTATAGTGTAACCATGCTACAACATAGTATACATATATTCAAGTAGGCAAAAGCATACACAAGCGCTAGTATTTTTATCTAAAAATGAGAATTCAAGAATTACTATACCGTAGGCGGTGATAAATCTTGAGCAGATAATTTTCGCTTTAATCCATATTTCTAAAGAGTGATTATTTGTTAAACAACCAGATTAATAATTTGTAAGCAGTAGATAATTAATTGCAAGAAATGATACAGTCCAGTGATCATTAATGATGATCATAGGACTGTAGCTTTGAGAAAAATGATTGAGCTAGTGTATTCTTATCTCTCAAACTACGCTGTAAAATATAATGTCGATTACTACTGATTATATTGTAATTATATATCACCTGCCGACGTTTTGAATACTTAACTATTACAAACGTAGCGTGCAAAATATATTTTACCGTAGTTCACACTTTGAGTTTATTTTAGATGCGATAATAGTGGTTGAAGATCATAAAAATCTATCAATTTCCGAGAGAATAAGCAGTAGCTTACAACGGTACTTCTCTTATTACAACTTTGAATCTCTGTCACGAAAGGTCGTAGTAATTTAATTTATAGAGTACAGTAGGTTAACTATGTTGTGTTGTCCTACTTGCGCTCATGCAATATTTTAATTAATTAATGATATACTTATTATTAGTCTTAAAGTATAAACGCAACGGCAATTACTGGATACAAGTGCAACTAGTTGCAGCCATATACTTGTATGTTGTACAGGTTCAATTGCAAAGTCTGTAACTGTAAACAAAATGCGCATACAACAATATTTAGCAATGGACAATCATAAGCGTCACATTACAATTTGACGGTTTCTCTCAAAAGAATGCTCGAGAAGGAATACAGATTTATATCTAGAGAGATAGTAAAAATACTCTATTAAACCGAACTTAGCATATAGCTCTGAGTGCAAGCTTCTTTGATGTACTATCAATCTACAATAGGATAATTTCTTATTGTGCGTTTGACCTAGAATTATCGTGAACACATTGAAAATCTATCGAAGTATATTGTAAATATACTACAGCAACAAAGTTGACTCTTGCTTTAGGCGAACAAAACTGCAGTGTACAAACCGTTTGGTTATCTACCAGAATCAAACTAGTCAGCGCAGAAACCCTTGACGAGTAGTTTGTATTCAAGGATTCTATAAACTAAGCATTTTTCCGAGTAGCAAAAAAGTACATTGATGCTAACCAGAATCATGACATCGTCTTCTTATTATCTAGTTCTATTGTAATTTAACTGAGTATCTTTTAAAATTAAAGGCTACTATGCTTTATGCAATGGTACTTAAATTGGCAGTAATATAAAGTGCTGACGACATAAATTATCCATCTATCGATAGCTTTATAGATTCCATCTACAAATTATAAAACATGGGTGTTCATTCTCACCGGTATTGTCGTTTGCGCTGACTTATCAGGGGTTTTGGCAGTAAAGCTACAAAAATGCAATTCAAAAGTAGAAATTTAGTAATATGCCTGATTTAAGTATTGTCTATTGAAGTATAATCGAGTTAATATCTTGACACCAATTTATAATGCGCTCCATTACGTTATCATTGAATCTACAGTAGCATCATGATGACAATATTTAGTGTACGTAGATCCAAAAATTCAATCTGCTAGATGTGTTATACCATAGCATCGTTTTATCGTTACAACAGTAAGTGCTATAAATTATCTTATTTTATTACTGATAGGCGATCATGGTTAACGCTATGTAACATCATATTAAGAGTTACTTGTCCCTGTTAATAATACAAATTCAGTCTGTACCGCTCTGTGCCAAGATAACTATCAGCATAATTACCCTGCTAATAAAGCTCTTTCCTTCATCCTCAATCTATTTCTACAATCTTTGTGAGTCACGATATAGTATTACAGTCATTATCATTTGATTTTTAAAATACAGTAGCGCCATTATAGTCGTATCCTTTTTTTTCATATTGATTACAAAAATTGAATGTGGTTGATATTTTAAGTCCTGTTTTGTAACGTATACTATCTAGCATCCAGTAAGCGTGATGAGGGAGCATCTTCCTTTAGGTAATTAAAATTAATTCAATACGATCTGATGATGATCTCAAAAGGAGTTTTGGATTGTGTTACCATATGCTGCCATTTCATACAGTAGCATGGTTATGGATGATCGAGACACACGTAATGTTGGTAAAGAATCCTAGTCCATGTTAGGTCAATACCATAATGGGGAATACTGACTATGCGTCGACTTAAAATGGAATGTAAATGATGTTGAAACATCGTTAAAACACTATGTTACCATCCCTTTTCATAGAAACAAGCAATAAAGTAGCAATACTTGGGAATATCCTATCCTACTTGGCGACGATTACGAGTACTGTAGAATCTTTTTACTTAATTAACTGCCACATTGTATCCTTGAAAATTGTCCAAAATAAGAAACCAATTTACTGACCAACGACCGTTCCCTACTGTATCATCTACATGTATAGAAGGAAATCCAGTACTATACTTGCACTGTATGTAATCTTTGTAACTTTTACTGTATTCCAAACTAATAGAAGCGTTGACATTAAGCTTGAGTCATGTTTTCACAATATTTTACTCGATGCCAGGTGAAAACGGCGGTGGTCTTAATTGGATTAATTTAAAATTAATTAATTCATGATCATTACTCGATCATGGTCTAATGGCAGTATCCAATTTTGATCGTACTATAGTGTGTGCATGTCTCTTCGTTCTATTACATCAAGTTCGAATTTGATTTCATGCACCAATGTCTCTTCATTCTACTGTATCAAAGTCTAGTTGTATCTCAGGTAGTTAACTTAATGACATCAAGTATTTCTAATTGTTGATAGATTTAATTCATGTACTGTCAAGAAAAATAGCAAGATATCGAGGCCAATTTTGCAAGCAAGAATCATCTTCCTCCAACTCCTGAAGACAGTCCATGCAATCATCTACAAGTACAAGTAAGAAGGTTTACCTGAAATTAAAATTTTCCTTCATGGCAGTCTTTGCTACCATTGGCGATTGAAGTAACTTGGATCTTGTGCGAGTCATTGGGATGTTGAAGGTATTGGATAAATTATTCTGATTGAGAGACATGTTGAATGCAACTGGATGACTTTTCAAGCGCACTACTACTGCATTCACCGTGGATTGAGTAAGATTGACTTTTAAAAGAACCACCGCACAAGCTGTCTAATCTACTTGCTTTGGCTTGGTATTTTCTTACTTTATTTTTTAGGGGAAGAAAGTTGGAAAAGGGATCCCATCGACGAGTGGAAATGCCAGTTAAAGCAGCAATCGAGAAAGGAGGAGTGACCGCAAAACTACCAAGCGATCATAATACAATTCATTAATTTAAAATCTTGGATGATATTATTGCTGTTATTACTATTAAGATTATTTTGAATTTGATCGGTTTCAGGCAGCAGCCAATAGAAAGAGCCCGTTGCCATGGGGTATTGAGCCTGCGTGATGACATTTACCGTTTCAGTCCAGGTCCGTAGCATGACCTGTATCAAGGCTGAGGGTGAAGAAACGGACCGTACTGGACCGTAGGTGGTCTGGTGCTTTTCATTCGTACTGGACTATACTGGACTGTAGGTGGTCTAGTGCCTTTAAATCAACGGTCATGCTTGGACAGGTGTACTGTACTAGCGTGGTGTAGAGGCACGGACTGCCATCACGGATGGACCGGACAACTACTGTAGTAGTACGCGAGGATGGCTAGACTATGATTAGAAGAAGACCTTTGTCATGGAAAAAGGATAACTTTACGTAGCAGAATCGGTGCAGTGTACACTGTACAGTTGTATCAGAAAATTTCTGCACAGTACAGTCGAGTGCAGTACTGCTGTAGGCCAGTACGAGTGCAAATTGTGTAGAAGAATCGATCTAGACCATACAGTAGAGTAAAGTTATTTTTTCTCAACACGATGATTTACACAGAGTAGGCTGCGCTAAGCTAGCTAGACCTGAGACCGGTTCCATACCTTTATGATCGATATCACTGCTAACGTTCACCTGTACGAGTGAAGCCTTTAATGAGAGAATGCCAATGCTACAGTACATACAACTTGTACTGTAAATTCATCGGTGACAAACAGACTGTACAGTACAGTACGTACTGTTCTTTCTACAGTACACTATACTGTAGGGTATGTACTGTAGAGGACGAGCCGCACGGCAATGGACTACAGTCTAAACGTGTACGTCTGTAAAGTAAAATTGTAGCAGTTGGGACTAGTCCGGACCAGCAGAGAAAGGCCGTACAGTACGCTACCACAACGGTGTCATGGTCAACAGACTCCAAGTGGTCTGGTACTGTAAAGGCTCACTGCTTGTAGTGTACTGACTGAAAAAAGAAAGCCATTTCGTCTTTTCCAGTACTCTACAGTCTCTACTGTTAACCTTCAGCACTACAAGAGAGCGACGGACGGTGGACGCTTGACTGGTAGTCTTTCAGTACTGGAAAATGACCAACAAACATGGTCGGCCTCCCCTGATTAGGAGCAAAACATTCGCTTGCTTCCTATCCTTGAATATTAAAGTAGAAGTAACAAATTGGCATGGAATAGAGCGTAGTTTTCATTCATTGAATAGATAGCTAGAATACTGTTGGATCGCATCGATAGCATTGGATAATACAGTATTAGCTTGATGTCCTGTTGTTTCGCCGACAGAGATACTTTCATGCAATCATTCATTCAATCACTGTTATCAATAACACGGACTACTGGATGGGCCCAAAAAGGGAGATGAAAGTACATTCAAAAGTCCGTGCAGTAGTAATAAGCAAATAAGAAGACGATGGAGAGTTCTGCTAAAAATAAATAGGAGCTAGCTTGTCAACGTATTATTTTCTTAAAAAGGAACTACAGTACTGCCGAATGATGCACATTAGAGACCTTCGATGATGTGTCAATTCTGATTATTCTTGCATTCTACAGTATTCTAAATCAAGACTTGATGAGAAATTTCCGATCATAGCATTGGATTAAATTAAGCGTTTTAAATTAGTAGACTGTATATGTCTGAATGTTAATTATAAATTCTATGCTTAGTTAATTTCTGAAAGGTTATCCCATTTCACAAACCTTTCGTTGCTACTGTACGGTAGAATTCTCTGGAAATGAAAGCACCAGTGTGCCTTCTTGCCGCTTTGCCTTTTTGATACTTGTACTGTAACATAGCAGTAGCTTGGATTACCAAAACTGTCTAAAACATACTGTACATACTGTACAGTCATTCCTGTGGTGTTATACAGGATGCATGGCTAGATGGGAAAATTACGGTGGCTCACATTGTGAGCCACCGTAGAAAATAATAGCTTGAAAATATCGATATTGGCTAACGCTTCTAGATTAGATGATGTACTGTATTTCCATGAAATTATAACCACTTTAGCACACTAGCTAAAATGACTGATCGTTGACACTAATGATATAGAATGATGAATCATGACGGTGCATGTTGCTGTATTGAATACGTTACGTTATGTCTACGTGCTACTGTCAGTGAAATCAATTGGTCTGCTTTCTAGGGAACTTATATATTAAGTGCTATGGTGACTTTTATTTCTACATCTCTAACATGAGGAGCACAGATTGATAAGAACTGCTATAAAAGTGGTGCTCAAGCGGTAAAGCATAGCGGGGTGAATGGAAATACTGGGCATCACAATCGACTGGTAGACGAGCAATGGTCCATTAGTCCTATTAATAATCTTGGCCATTCCGCTATTTTGTCAAAGCATGTAAACCACAGTTCAGTGATTCAGAGAGCCATGCTGCAGTCTACAGCAGAATAAGCTTATATAAATCATTTTTTATAACTATTCTATCAGTACTTTACTAACAATGACTGCAGTATTATAATTATTGGTCAGGACGATATTGCAATCAACTGCACTAATTTGGCTAAAGCTACAGTTTATGTTCAAGATCACTGCGGTAATAACAGTAAGTTAACTCCAATCTTATCATAAATCAAAAGCCAACTATTAATACCGGTATCAACATTTTTATTCAATTGATAGCAAGTATTATTCTTATGAAAATCGAGCAATAAAACTTGGTAGTATTTTATATTTTAAAACAGATAAACATAACAGTAATTGTTGATATACTGTGTATAATTACATTAAACTGTCAGTATAATAAAGAAATTTGACTTGTATTGAGATCACAATATGGTACATAAACTAATCGAACCTAATACGGCGCAAAATAAAATCCTACATTCTTCGTTTAAAAGGCGTTCGAATGGCAGTTGTTTGACTGCAACGACTTATCTTTTGACAATTACGATCTTTAAGATTTTCATAAATCCTTAATTTAGCACGATCAGGGTAAAACTGTATTATCATAAGAACTTGATCAATGGTGGTACGAACTACAATACAGGTTATAATTTCCTAGGTCTGTACAAATATATACCCTAATTACAAATAACAAAGCCAATAGAATTGGAGTAAACTTATTTCTGCTAACCTAAATATAGTGGAAATCAACGTAGTCAATGCAAGTAAATTGTCCAAGAAATTTTTAAATGATATCGGCGTATACAGCCTCAAGATGATAACTAACTGATTGATCCGAAAATTTATATCAATTTCTCTAATCCCGTATTACTGCGTCATCCGTACGAAAGATAGCCTGAGTTTACTGACATTACCAATAGTCTGCAAGCCTCGACAGTTCTATAGCGTGTATAAATCGTGACGGCTATCATAATCTGATTTAAGATTGGTTATCCGGATATGTTGTATATGCACTCACTAGTACAGTACACGATATAAACATACACATATACACATTCACTTCACATTTGCAAACATGGCGTAACAGTGGAAGAACGTCATGTCATGCAAAACTAAGACAGATAGATATCTTCATTAAATTGCTGATGTGGACTTTGATCATCATCCATAGACGTCAAGCTACTCCTACGGCTACTACCAGCTATACTAACGCTAACTGAAGTTATAATAGGATCATCACCAACGTCCATTAGTTCATCCCTAGTTGAAGCTGTAGTTGATGAGAAAGCTTGCGAAGTGTGCGTAGTGGGCTGCATTATTTCCGGCAAAATACCAGTACTTAATATGGACTGTACAGATGCGCTACTGGTAATATTTTCAGTTGTTGTATCCGACGTTAAAGGAGTGGTTGGAATTCCATGTGCTCTTGCATGCATTTCCAATTCCTAACATACATCATGCCATAAAAACGTTCATAAATTATAGTTGATCGATAAACAATAGGCTAAGAATTGAAAAAATTCACCTGTATCCTTAATAATAATCTCTTATTTGTAGCTTCTAATTGATGCTGTTTTTCTTCTAGTTGCCGTAATCTAACAATTTCCCTTTGAAGCTTTTTAACGTAATCCACAGTCGCCTTGAGAATAATTCCTTTATTTGTTTTCATGTCCCTACAGAAAGTATTTAAATAAGTGATTGTTGACATATCATTAGCTGAATGATGCATATCCCTTCTGTTGTGTAGTCCAGGTTATAAAGAATTGGATTCTTACGCGTCCTGCTTCGGAAGTAGAGCACCTAACTCTTTTATTCGATCATTTATATTAAATCTTCTCCTTCTTTCAACTGTGTCCACATAAAATGCAATATCAGGGTTAACAATGAGTTGGCAAAATATCGCATTCATTAATTACCAGAATTCTATGTTGTAGTTTATATAAGAACTTATGTCTTACAACTTACTTAGGTTGTGGTTGTCTTTCTTTTGTCTATCTTTCAAAACTTTCTCAATAAAGTTCGATGCAACTGTATTTAGAGCATCATGAGAAAGATTAATAATCAAAGTACATTTTTCACGATCACTGCAGCAGCGATTTAAGAATGTCACAAAATTTAGAGAGATAAAGAGATCAAAGGGCGCTACCCAAGAAATATTATCCAAGAGTAGAAGTAATCAAAGGACACTCTCACCTTCAGGTTCTTGCTTTACATGTACATCAGGTGGACAGGAGTAGGACACATTTTGTGTTAGCTTTGCATTTTAAAGTAAAACGACGCATATTAGGCCTACTATCCAATACTAATAGAAAAGAGATCTGTTGACATTTTCATTAATTAAAAATAGAACATTTTTTACCGAAGGGGCATTAACGTTGTCAAATGAGCCATCAAAGAAGTTGCATGATTCCTGTAACTGTACAGATGATGCCAAATAAATTGTTATCCACAATCAATATACTGTATATTAGAGAGCTTAACAAACAAACAACTGGAGAACTTACTGTCGCAGATAACGGAACAGATGGTGAATTTATACTAGATTCCAAGCTATCCATTGTATTAATACAGTATAACAAAACAGAAAAGACTTTCTTTAAGATAAAGTATGTCAACTTGACATGGAAATAGATATTCGCATTAGTAGGTATACCCGATAAATATGCACACAAAATTTACCTGATCAGGTCTTCTAAAGCCATGTCGTCTACCTATTATGATCAAAAATACCCAGTTCAGAATTTACAAAATCTAACTAGATATTTGTGAATTTTTTTTAAATCTTGGTTTTACAAGCAATTACTTAACAAATTGGTTTGAGTACTTCTAGAGAACAAATTTACTACAGAGTCAATAAAATCTGATACTAATAGATACGATTGATAAATAAAGCAAAATGACTATGCACTTAGTTGTGATTGTAATCAACGTTTGCATACCTCTTGATCAACATTTAATTTTGATCCATCGGAAAAGCACGAAGACATATCGGCATCTTTATCCTCCGGAATATCGCCTATAATTCTATTACCGGTAGATCCGGCATAAGTCGATGATAAACCCAAATTAGCTGGCTGATGTTGTGTCTTGTTGAGCTTGCCCACATGAAAGTCTATAGGCTTATCCAGCTTCGATTTCATCTACAAATTTACAAATTTTTTTCAACTCTTCATGACAACGAATCACGGATTACGATAGAAGGTTTATACACATATCAAACAATAAGAAGCTACTCTATTTATGTAGGTACAACTGTTGATATCACTATTATACGTTTTGCATATCTTTTTACCGTATATAATTCGCTAGGTAAAGACGACGATGTCATCAAACTGGCATTCACTACACCGTCTTCCTGCCCCATTGCTTTCCTATGGCTGCCACTGGCGTAGCGTTGGAGCTGTCTAACATCTAATGAACCTTTCTGAAGTCGTTGGAGTTCTTTCGTTTGCTGTTGTCGGGCATGCTCGCGTTGAAGTTCTTGTTTTAATGCGATACGTCCTGTCGTGGGCGATTTACCAAATCCGCCAGATCGAAAGCTGCAAAAATACGGAATGTTAAATCGAATTCCATTAACTGCTAGCTTTATCTCTACAACTATGTTTACATTATGTAGCAATCACGGATGCAAATAGACGACATAAGAAAATAAATGGGCAGTTTGTGTAAGTCTTACACAGGGTGAAGTAATCCCTTACTATCGTGTAAGACTTTTAAGCCACTGTTTATGCACCATTTACACTACAAGCCTGAATATACTCTCTCCACTGATTACAGGGATGAGCATAACATGGCTTTCAAGCAATATTGTAACCTATTGAAGTACATATGAGGAAGTAAGAGCGATTGTCAACATTTTAATTGGCATTCTTTAGAACCATGAGCAGATAACACAAGTAGCATAGTGCAGTATGAATGGATTCAAATCCGAGGGCTACTGAATTTCTATAATAGAGTCTAACGGTTAATAAAGTCTACGAATAGGTTCCAATAGGAAGTGCCACGAAATCAGATTACATAGTGACACATTTAAAGCGGATGATTTTAATGGTTTAAAGAAGGCTTGGTATTGATTGATGCGTCAAAGTAGACTATAACCCTTCACATCGGTTGCAGGGTGTAGACATGATGATTCTGCTGATTACCACCTAGTAAAATGGGAGACTGAAGTAATCGTACCTGCCCGCGTTGTTTAGACAGTTGAAAAGGAGAACAGCCTTGTCAAATTATCATGTCAAATAAAGGTACGGCTACAACCGTCATGAGCAATTCGTTTCTTCCTGTGTTTGGAAAAGAACCTTGTACAGTATAGTGAACTATTTCTGTGTTTAGAAAAGAACCTTGTACAGTACAGTGACTTAATGATTGTGATTCTAAGTAACGTTCTTCGATCAACGTTTGAGCCAACGATTATCAATTATCAGTATACATTGTACATACTCGTCAATAGTGGAAATAGATGATTGATTTGTACGCCACCAATCAAAGTCAAATAAATAAAATTATGTAAAATTGTACAGCAGCTCTTCATCAATATAAAGCAGTTAGTGCACATTTTTGGGAGAAGGTAAACAATACCTACCTTCCACCTCCTCTATGGTTACTCGACTTACGCTATATCAGTAGCTGTTGTACTATGGAACAAAATAGCGATTATGTCCATTATTATACTGGTCATTATTAAGGAGGAAAAAGATTGATTTTGGGGATCCATGATTATTCAAGAGGTAAATACTTGTGTGTAATAAGTTACCAGCATGTATACCATTGCGGTATAAAAGTGAAGTATAGCTAGTAGAGATTGTAACATTGATTTATGAATTCATTGAAGACCAGCGATTTGAAGCATGGAGAAAATGGCCATCGCTATGATTTCAACTAGACTGGACGAAATTGAATACAACACTGCATACAAGTTTGCCAATATGGTAAGTATGTACCTTGGTATCGTGATAGCTAATGATCAGTCCACTGCCTAGACGGAACTGTCCATGATCATCGGCTGGAATAGTCCAGTGCCTAGACGAATCATTGACTACCATGTAAAATCTGGACATAAAGAGTCTATTGTAAGCTTTTATCGACAATTGTCCAAAGCTGAATTCCATCTACGTCGATAGTCTGCAGTGGAAGTAAACGAAAATGCATTGCCTATCAGACGTCCTTGTCAAATGAATGTTAACGAGCGGCAATACTATCAAATTTGTAAGATCACGTCTGATCAGCCATTGATGCAATCGTGGCATGATCACCATGAAAATGGTTGCTTTGATTAGTTTATTTGTAAGATACCAAGGTTCAATTGACTTGCAAGAGTCGCACAAATATATTATCTCTTCACTTGTATGCAGGACTGTCCATGTCACGGCGTTGATCGTATCTGTCGTACTGACACACAACAACAACTATCATGGAGGAAGAAAGTAGAGGGATGAAAGAAAAGGGAGTACAGTATGATTGGGCTGCCTGTTGTCGATTGTGTACCTATCCAGTATATCGGATCTACAAGATCGACGAGTAGTGTCCGATTTACACTAGGACATGTATCACAATCGCTATACAGGTCCATGTTATGAGTACCTCTAGGTTGTATAACCACTGATCAATCGAGTACTGCCATTCGCAAAGGATGCAGCGAAAAGGTGAATCAATCAATACCTTGTGGGTGTTTCTGCATTTTGATATTGAAATCATGCAAATGACCATCGTGGCACAAAAGTCACTTTAATATCATCGTCTTACAGTGAGAGCCTAGTCAACATCGATCAATGGCGCTATACTGTATTCTAGTGTACATACTTTTGTAATGGCCGACTCTTCATTCTATAAGAACCATCGCCTATGTAGTTTTCTAATTTGGCAGCGGATTGTGCCGATATTGGCTGCGGCTTGTGTCGGGCTTGATGATGCTGGCGATCGTCAGCAACATTGACGTCAACACCAGCATCCGATGTTGAATCCATCTTGTTTTGGGGGGGGGGGGGGGTTTTGCAATTCCTGACTGCTGACTAGGTCCAATTCAATCAGAATATTGGTGTAATAATCAAAGTGAAGGCGTTGATGTCCAATACTACGCAATCAAGCGATGGAGAAGGCAAAACTGCCCTGCAAAAATCATCCAAGTGGAGTCAAGCGCAACGACCGCTGCTGGTTTAGTGCATCAACATTCAACGTCTTTCTCTACTACTGAGTTATATAGTATTGCGCTACTTGTCTTGTACAGTACAACAGTATGGCGATGGCAATAGCGTCCTTTCGTCGCTCTTTCTACCCCCCTTCCCCGGTGGGTATTTCTGACCAGGGTGAGTGGCCCAGTCAACTTGGCCTACAGTGCAAGTCCTTTGACTCCTGGATATGGCGGTGACGCAATTGTGCCTACAGTACTGTACGCTTCAAGCGGAAAGCGTACCGGTATGGTTGAAACACCAGCATCGATTGCGTCACGCAACGTCACGTGAGTCCCACGAAGGAGCCGTGGGACAGTGTTCAGTACAGTAAAGCAAAATGGACTACTGTACTGTACGACTGCATACTACAGTACTGTACAGTACATACTGTACTGTAGAGTTCATTATCAAATTAGGCTACGGTGCGGATCGGCATCGTACCGTACAGTACTGGACCCAAACGGTACTAAATGGTACCGATGCGATACCAACGATACTACAGACTACAGTTAGTGTATGATCACCAGGTCATCCGGTGTTCCGTCTGTACGTACAATCCAGTCGTTAAAGGGATGATTATTTTTGTCTCTTTAACTTGAGTGGTCTACTGTACATCAATCAATTAATTCTAACAATTATTACGGACCTTCAGGCTCTCGCACTGTACCATGGACTGCTAAAAATAACTATCTAGTCATTATGAATTCTATAGTAGCTGTTATCACGTAGTTAAGATATTTAGCGTGCACATGATTTTACTCCTCGATGATATCGAATGGAATCCACCCTAATCCGATATCGACACTATTCTACAGTACATGCTGTACACTGGTAAGTACTGTACTGTACTGTACAGTACTGTACTGTACACTGTACAGTACTGTAATAATGTACTGTAGAATACCGTTCTGTACTGTACTGTATAGAGGTAAAAAAACCGCTATGGTACAGTACTGAACAAGTGAACATTCAATAGTGGCTGAGCTGATCACCCTCAGACAGATGGACTCTATCGATTTCTTACCAAATAAGGTCCGCAGTATGGAAAAATACTGACTTAGTATGGATCTTCTTGTCTACAGTACTTTCTAAATGACTGGTACAGTGGTACTCATTGAAATAGAACATCAACGATCTTCTATAACTGTTTGCAAGCAGAATTGAGTAAAAGGCAATAAGATTCCACATCATATTACGTCGTTGAGAAACAATCAGTTCATTTTAAATCGACCGATTACATACTCAAGTACTGTCATAATGAAGTGTTAGAGCTGAAAAGATCTATCCTTCCATCTGTGATTCCACTTGATCCAAACTTGCTCATCCAGTAGTCAACGACTATTGGAAAAAATACACTAGCTTTAGTGCAGGTTCAACGTCTGTCTGTCCGAAGAGGTTTCCAGTCCAGGGATTCTTTCTAGTACAGTACTGTACTGTACTGTATACTGTAGTACTGTACAGTGTACAGTACGGTACAGTTTGCCATACTGTACTGTAGCCAAGTCGCAGAGGTTCGGCGTCTGTCCGTCCGAAAGAAGTTTCCAGACCAGGGATTCTATCTGGTACTGTACTGTACTGTACTGTACAGTACTACTGTATAGCCAAGTCGCAGAAATTCAAAGTCTGTCCGTCCGAAGAAGATTCCAGTCCAGGGATTCTTTGTGGTACAGCAGTCTACAGTATACAGTATCCCTATACTCTACTATAGCCAAGTCGCAGAGGTTCGACGTCTGTCCGTCCGAAGAAGTTTCTAGTCTAGGGATTCTTTCTAGTACGGTAGTCTACTGTACTGTACTGTACACTCTATAGTATGGGCAGAGGGGCAACGTCTGTCCGTCTGAAGAAGTTTCCATTCCTGGGATCTTTTCTAGTACAGTATAGTGGTCTACAGCATGCGCAGAGGCTCGACGTCTGTCCGTTCGAAGAAGTTGCCTGTCCACTGTCCAGGGATTCTTTCTAGTACAGTAGTCACTCACAGTGACTCACTAGTCAGTAATCTACAGTAGGCGCAGAGGTTCGGCGTCTGTCCATCCGAAGGAGTTTTTTAGTCCAGGGATTCTTTCTAGTACAGTACAGTAGTCTATAGTATGCCATACTGTATCGTAGCCAAGTCGCAGAATTTCAATGTCTGTCCGTCAGAAGAAGTTTCCAGTCCAGGGATTCTTTCTAGTGCAGTAGTCTACAGCATGCGCAGAGGTGGAACGTCTGTCCATCTTAAGAAGTTTCCAGTCCTGGGATTTTTTCTAGCGTACAGTAGTCTGCACTCTACAGTATGCGCAGAGGTTCGACGCCTGTCCGTCCGAAGAAGTTTCCTGTCCAGGGAATCTTTCTAGTACAGTAGTCTTCAGTATGCGCAGCGGTTCGGCGTCTGTCCGTCCGAAGGAGTTTTTAATCCAGGGATTCTTTGTGGTACAGTACAGCAGTCTACAGTATCCCTATACTCTACAGTACTATAGCCAAGTCGCAGAATTTCGATGTCTGTCCGTCCGAAGAAGTTGCAGTCCAGGGATTCTTTCTAGTACAGTAGTCTACAGTATGCGCGGAGGTTCGACGTCTGTCCATCCGAAGAAGTTTCTTGTCCTGGGATTCTTTCTAGTACAGTACTGTAGTCTACAGTATGTTATACTGTAGCCAAGTCGCAGGCATCAATGAATTCAGCTTGCTTCACGCGACTGTCTCTAGCCCAGTCTTAGTTACTATACACCGAATATTGTATCAGGCACTTGGAACAAGACTTCCAGTCCAGTACAGTACTGTATACTGTACTACGCTACAGTACTTACACTGTACCGTACTGAACACAAACACTGGACTGGCTCAGATTGTTGGCGTCTTAGCTCTGTCTGTCGGTCCTTCTTCGGCGATACTGCTACCGAGGCGAACGAGCAGAAGGAAAAGGCCAAAGATTCAAATTAATAAACGCTGTCAGTGACAAAACTCATACAGGAATATGAGCAAGGAATGATCAAGTAAGAAAGATCGATATTGAAATTCTGATGTTGTTGACTGAGCAATAGCATCCACTGACTATGATAGCAGACTCTTTATTGAAGTATAGCATCAACTATCCTTGAACTTGCAGGTTGAATGGTGGTGTAATTCATTGAAGAAGAATGCAGAATACAGCAATTGCCGGCAGAAGTGTTTTATTATTACATAGCTGCCAGGAATTAGATAAAGGCTGCGGTGATATTCATGAAATTGACAATGGTTAGCTGTATTCACTTTGCATTGAATTTGATCTATTCTACCTACAAACTTGAAACTATGTAGAATGAGTGGACCATGGTAAACACACTAAAACACCAACGCTACTGTCTACCTGCTGATCGATGGATGGGGTAGACGTATTCATGAAGTAACCCATTCCTATTATTATTGCATGGAAATAAGTGTAAAAGAACATCACACTGTACACTACACCACATTAAGCTAGCTTGAGAATAGTATCATATCTTGTACTCGAATTTAGCACGGTAGTCTGCCACTAGATCACGAGTGGTCTAAGTTGCATACTTAGATAGCAGGAACGGACAGGAATGGAGCGATGCACTACAACATTTTACATGCTATCCATCGCAAAGCATCTATAAAATTGATAGTGACAATGTCAAATAATCGATTTAGATACAATATGATTCATCTATTGAGCCATTGGTAGTCTAAATTGTGGACATGATCAAGCGACACCATGCACTATCTTATAATGTTGATTGTTGTGATGATATTGTTGGCCTATCAATTAAGCATCTACACAGAAAGACTAAAAGATAACACTAGGCCAATAAAGACGAACTATCAACACATGCTTATATACGTATATGCAATAATATTAGGTAAAGGAAACACATTCAAATTGGAGAAATCTTTATGGACCTGTGCCACTGAAGGAGCGATCGAATACTTTCGTATCGCATTTGATATCTATTCTACCAAATATCCGGTGCGTAGACAGATCTCTACATCTTCTTTTTAATTTAAAAGGCTACTTTGAAATTGTTTGATCAAATTGCAAAAGTAATCAATCACACACTCTATAAATTAGCTGTTAATAATACCTTGTTAGTATTTAGCTACAGCAATGACAAATGAGCTGAGCTGTCAAACACTGTCAATACCGTCTTTCTCCTATGAGGCTACAAGACAACTTGGAATTCGTTAAAACTACGTTGGTTGTATCTTTAACTGGTATAATATTTGTGTCTTAATAGATTCTAATTAAAGTTATCGGAAATAAATCAAAAACTTTCGATGCCATGGATAACAATTTGGGCCGAAGTAGTATCATGAAGGTATTTTTCTTTCTAGGCAGTCCCAATAATTAATGTATCATAGCTGCTTATTCATATGTTCAACTAAGCTCAACTATATGCTCATTTTTGAATGAAACTTGTCACCTTTTCAAATGGAAATTGACTTGCTACCTTACTGTCCATCTTTGTACAATATACAGTGCATGTGGTGACTTAGAAGCTCTTATGATAAAGTAAAGTTAAACACATATACTAAATAAATGTAGGTCTTAGCAATAATTCAAAGGGTCATCATCTTAATAATATAGTATGATCAAATCAGGCATTTAAATTAAAATTTGAATAATCTGTATCAATTTTTATGTACACAAATTGTACCCGTATACCTGGTAATAATTCATTCTTGATTCCTAAACATAATGACAACAGTTGTATGAGAATTTCGCCAACGTTCGCTATAGTAGCAATACTGAAAGCCAATTTGATAGTCATGATCTCCAAGCTGCTCTTACTGAATCCATCCATGAATTCTCTAAGCCTCTATCAACATCATATGATAAATATTCCCGTGACAATGGTGTTCGTAGAATTATTTGCATCTCGTCCTACAAAAGGTAATTAACATACTTTTTTACCACTATCTTCATATCTACTCTGTAGCAGTATGTTTGGCAACTATATTATAATCATAACTTTGAAATGGTTCTAAATGAGTAGTATTCGTAACTGATGAAGAACGCTAATATCTATTTCTTTTGCTATCATGTATGATTTAGCACTATGGTCATTAAGTCATTCATTGCAGACATTATCAAAGCTGTTGAGGACATTAACACGATGTCTACGCACGAGTAAGTTGTTGAGTATTTTAGTCCATGCAATCAATTTTCATGGCTTAATGCGTATGATATTTATAACGTTTACATACAGCATTATCAACATCAAATTTCTGGATGTAGTCTTTGTACATTTGCAACCGGTTTATGCTGATATCACCTCTCAACTGGAACAATCACTCGGAATCGACAAACTAGTAAGTCTCTGTGCGGTTTTTCAATGACAAGAGTGCGATAATTGCTTTCATACTATTGTAATAACTTCTTAATGACGCTTAGGCTTTATCGTGTTATCACTTAATTGGAATATGTAGAAGTAGCGCTATTTAGTATTACAATATGGTCTTGCTACAGCTTTTTTTTTAAATTCTCCCTTCATTTTAATGGATTTTATATCCTATACTTTGCAGTAACTGGGTGTACAACCTTAGCCATACTTTCAAATTATACTCGTATTACCCAAGTTTGCAATGTTAACTGTATCTATTCATGTTAGGTACATTCGCGAATTCGAATTAGTGTTTATGCCATTTCTGGTCCGGAAATGATCGAAAAAATGAACATCATGTCACAATTACATTATGATCTCAAAATTACCACCGTCACTGGCATACCAATGAAGGTAACCCAAACGATTGATTTCATTAGGTCCTCTCTAATTAGATCAGATCTACGGTAAAACCTCTTTAACTCAGAAAATCACTTTTCTGTAATAGGAAGAGCAAAGTACTGGAACTTCATCAAATTATGATGTTCAATTACTACATCCCTCCGCAATTCATGACAGCCTACAGACGTCTTCTGAAGATTACGGTAACTTCTATAGTTTGACAACGATAGATGGTTTTTATTTATTCTAGATATTTTTCTATGACAATGATACATCTCTTTCTTAGATGTTGTAGACCCTTTTACTCTGAAAAGGAATAACAAAGCTTCAGTTGTCTTAAAATGGTGTACACCCAAACAAGCATCTAATCCACGTAGGTCATATATATATCCGTGGTTTATATTTTCTGTTATTAATCCGTCAGCTACGTTTATTACAGTATCTGAATCACAATTTTGTACTAGCATGAGCCGTATTACACCTGTTGAGGTAATCAATTAAGCGATAAAGTGTTATGTCTTCATACCATGCTCAATTTACAAGCTAACGTTCATAATAAATTTATTGATGCACTATCAGCCAAGCAGTCGACCTACCATTTGCTTAATGAATTTCCTTCTTTCGGGTAATATTTCGCTTCTTCTTGGCTTCATATAGATTGACTTTAAACGTCATCGCAACATCTATTTGTGAATAGAGTTGCTCATTTTACATAATCACAAAGATTTATTACAGTAAATGCTAATTGTTTCTTCTTGAATCTAGGACGTACTGTTGCTTTGGAGCAACCGAAAAAAACCAGCCATAAATCTGTTATATCTCATCTCTTAGTAGGCCATAAAAGACAAGATGATTGCGACAGTGAAGGTATATTATCGTTTATAATTAGCCTCAACTTTGAATAGAATCCATATTTTCTTACCATGAACACAATTTTGTTCGTCAAGGTGATATATTTGTTCATACGTTATCAATATCTCGCTCGCCTCTGGAGGATCCTCCTTCAATCAGCGAAGGTTCTGGTGGCCGAGTAACGGACTACAGAATTAATGTTAGTAGAACTTAATTATCTACTAGTCTCATCATAGAGAGTTTGGCTACAGTTTCCGTTCAATCTTCTTCAGGATTTTGGTGAACTTATGAAAGACTGTCGCTTAGCACCTATAACTCAGAATAAGTCTACGGAAATCTTGCCGATTGACGCTGGTAGCAATATACGATTTAATCTTCTTTATTGCTTTATCGTAACGAAATAGTAACATTATATAGGAATTAACTGTGTGTTCTAAATTATCGTCTTTGATCATATTTTATATCAACTTTGTACAGCTCTGGATTGTATGGATAGATTTACTCGATACTGGCCGATGACAATGAGTAATTCCACTATGTTTGGCACTGAATGGACAAATGTAATAAACATAAATTCTATCAATGGTATCTAAATGATATCAATGAAGAAATCATTAATGTAGTTGTTATTATGATAGGAACTCGATCGGCTTCCAGAATATTTATGTTGGAAGAAATTAGATGAAGAAACCGTAGATGAGTGTATAAAGGTGCTAATTCTCGTACACAAATACGATATGACAGCGCAACTCTCTTCTGTTATTGGAAAACCAATAGCTACCTTCTGATTTTACTCTAGATTCTAACAGAATTATCGGATAAGACCAGTATGAATGAAAACCGCAGTTCATATTACGGAGGTTCAAGAACTAAAGGAACTAAACGGTATTTAAGTTTCTTCAATACATCATAATTGTATAGCCTACACTAGTAATATCTATTCGAGTCCTTTTTTAGAGAAGAGCAATCTCGACAGCTGTTGAACGAATTAGAATCTGTACTAGAATTGCAGAGTTCTAATTCTGCTATGCACTACAAAGTATGAGATAATACAATCGAATATAATAAATGATTCAGCCCTTAGATTGAATTAATATCGTGATCGTAACGTGAATAAATTTCGAAATGCGTAATATTTCAGATCTATAGCCACTTTCTGGATTTGAAAAGAGCAGCAAATTCCTCTTCGCCCGATAATTACATTCCTGAAGATAATGGAGCTGTTGATGCCGGTATGATTCACGATAGCATTTGTTTTCGCTATAACTCTTAAATTCCTGGTTATCGCTTTGACCCTATTTAGATGCAAGTGTAGCCATGGATGTAGACGGCAAGGAAGCAACACAATTGTTAGTTTTTAATTCTTTAATTAAGTAAAGTTGCTTTTCTGTCGTTCATCTAATGTTTATAATCGTAAAAATTCCTGAAACATTAATCCAGAGATGATACACTTGAAGAACAACAAAATCAAGGAAATACTACACCTAATATATCTGTAGACAATCAATCTCCAATTAGAGAGGAAGATCCGCCAAGAAATGGGAACGAAAGTGACGATCACGAAATTCAACCGCTAAAGAAAGTGAAGGTTACAGGTAACCTGACGACTTCCATTAATTTTATTAAAAAATTAGATACTTGTCTATGAGTTACATAGTAGGTAATTTCGTTTTTACAGAAGCAGAAGAGAAACCAATGGAAGAACAAACAGATAAAAGAACACTTCTGTCGGCTTTTATGACCAAAAAATTATCCTTATATTCGCGTTCATTAGATTTTGAGGGGCGTACGAATGCTGAAGGCGATAATGCGGTAGAATTGTACGTATACATGAATCGAAATAAGAGAAAACCAGAGGAATAGCTTCAGTTAAAAAAATTTAATTATTTAGCTTGCCTGTTTTTGTATAAAGTGACTGCCATTTTGTACAGATAGTGTATGGATAAATTATAAGCTTATAAGTGAAAAGATTATAATTTTCCTATATACTAGCAATACATTGAAATTTAGTATCATTATTATTAATTCATTTTATTACTATGTATTATCCATACTGTTAGCTATAAATTATGTAAATTTATGTTCCGATACCATTAACGCTTAAACACTTATCTGTTAAAAAATAGAAAAAATGAAATTTAGTAAAACAACTCCTGCGAAAAATTTAAAACTTAATCTTTTTTCTTGACTACCTAGTAATTATTAACAGAATTGGAACGTACTTTAACAGAGTGCTTATTAGTTCTTTCTGTTGCCATTAGATACAGCTTTACAATAAACAGATAAGTCATATTCCCTCTTATTAATAGTAGGCTATTTTTTTGCTCTAGTCACATAGTTAAAAATGACGCTGTAATTGCTGTAAGTGTATGCAAACAATATCATTTGTTTTGACAATGGTATGCCCTTCAAACTAATTGTATCTCGCAAGACACTGTAGGTATATTCATTCATTGTAGCTTTTCGCTATCGTAACAGAATAATGTTAATTAACACTGATAACACATCATTAAATATTTCACATTATAATTTTTGATCTTCAGCCGTCTAGAGGTGAAATTTCGGTGCTCACTTTTGGTTATTATTATATAATAACTTCAAGATTATAATTAGTTTATTCAATTACTAATCAAGCCGTATTCCTATTAAGGCGATAAAGATTTAATCTAAATTAAACTATCTATCTCGCGATCACTAATTAAACGCTGTAAGCCCGTTACATCGTTAGTAGCAAAAGTCAAATCGCAGTATTCAAAATACCATTATAAACAAATTAACGGACTACCGTAAAGTACCCGATATACAAAATTTTTTTTAACATATAAATTGGGAGGAATATTCACAGGTACTTGTATCATGCATAGTCTTTTATTCGTTACTTATAAGAACTAGGTATTTATATAGTAATCTGCTAAAACCAAGTTAATTGCTTGGCATTAACTTGAGAATTAGGTAACCAGTGAATAAAGAAAACTGTCAAAGTACAATTAAATATTAATACTACTTGAGAATGAGCACGATTGCTAATAATTTCAGAGTTTCATATATAAAAATGAAATACGTTCGATTTAAAGACAAATAAGCTGTACCACGTGAAAAATTTGGTTGTCAATATGAGTTTATTTAGAGGGATCTGACAAAGTTATTGCATGTGGAAAAAGCAAAACGAAACCTTGATGGTTCCTATTAATAATATTATTAAAAGGTTCGTTAATCGTATACTCACTACTGTATATTTAGCAGCATTTTAATTTGATAGCAATGATAACAATTAATAGGTTCATTAGTAGAGAGCGTAAAGATATAATGTAAGTAGAGCATGTGACTCCTTCATTACTATAAACTAGGTAATTAAGATTACTGACATCTAAGCAAAGAACACAGCAATAATTTCTCGAGATCTAATTTCTGTCTGCTTCGTTAAGCCGTAACTGAAGCTTACATAGTAACGGTCCTCCATAACATCGGACTGAAAAGGAATTTCAATCATATAAAACAAAGAGTGCAATATACAGATAACTATGGCACGGATACTGTATTTATATTAATAAAATTATAATTACTGTAATTAATGGTAGCAATAACTAAAAGCAATCCAAGTGGATAACGATCATAATTATTTGAAATAACCAATGAGAAACGTAACTGTTATTAGCAATCATGTGGCCAAATAAAATTTCTTGCAAGAACGAAAGTGACAGAAGACATCGATGCCGGTATCGAGGATAAGATACCGCTTATAGCTTCAAATACAGTCAAGATAAAGATACTGCTTTCTTTTTACATCAATCTTCTGATGACAATTAAAATTTGTCATGCAATCAACTAGACACTATAGAATTTAAACGTCAGCTCGCCGTAGAGATTACTACGTATATATTAGTACACATGCTCAATATAATTTATCAGTGATTATATTACGACTATTAATTACTTCGACAAATTGTGATTGCGCAACTGAAAAGAATCATAAAATTTGGTTTTACGAAATTCTTCACAGTTGGAAGTTCAAATAATGGATTAACACTAAGCGAATCATTGCAATGAATGATCTATTAATAATTTGTAATACATCATTACCACTAAGAAGGTACCTTTTTCCAAAATCCTAGAAAGAAAAATTCGAGTACGAAAAACAATTAAAATGGTTTATTCATACAAGAGCAATAAAATATTATCCAATAAACCACTACTAGTATTAACATTTCCTAGTCAAAGCAAGTTATATCAAAATTATACACAACATATACTTACAAGCTGATAAAGTCAGGCCCTTAAAACAAACCGCAGTCTTTCAAATTATTCTTGATAATTACATCTGTAACTGCATCGAATACGAATTGAATATTATTTGTATCAGTAGCACATGTAAAGTGAGTATAGATTTCTTTTTGATCTTTCATTTTGTTTAAATCTTCGAATTTCATCTGAATATAAGCTGATGCTTCTTCATACGTGTTTGCACCTACATTGCATTTTATGAGAGAATTAGAAAGATGCATGTTATTCATTTTTCTATTGTATCAAAAGCGATATTAGTTAACGTAAAAGCATACCTGTATACTCTGGAAAGCAAATGGTCAAAGGTGACTTGAGAATTTTTTCTTGGAAAAGATCCTTCTTGTTCAAGAATAAGATAATCGATGTTTCTGTAAACCATTTATTATTGCAAATCGAGTCGAATAACTTCATGCTCTCCATCATTCGATTCTACATTTTAATTAGCAAATAAAAATGCGTTAGTTGCCGTATGTCTTACGTTAATACCGAAAAATAAATCGTATCATTTAGATTAGGTACCATTTCTTCATCTTCGGCAAGAACTAAATCATAGGCACTTAACGAAACGCAGAATATAATTGCTGTAACACCTTCAAAGCAATGTATCCATTTTTTACGTTCGCTACGCTGTCCACCAACGTCAAACATTCTTAAATATAAACAAGAGTGAAGTAATTAGTATATAATAGCAATAATTACCCCCAAAAAACACAACACCATAAGGTAAAGCATTATGAACATACTTGAAGTGCAGGTCTTTGAAAGTAAAGTGAGTTTCAACAATACCAGTCGTTTTAACCCTAGTACGTAAAACATCTTGCTCTGACGGAATATATTCAGGTTTACCGAGCCGATCTATTGAATTCAGGTAACTAAAAAACGCAGTATTGACGTATTAGCAATTCTACTATAAAGAAAGGTATTACTCCAAGAACCTTCTATTTTGAAAAATTCTACTTACTATGGGGCAGAATCATTCAATTGATACTCGCGAGAACGACTGAAACACTGCTGAACACCATGATCAGACCATAATCTCTTCAAAAGTGATACAATTTCTGGAGTAAATTCTTGCACACCAGGAGCATCCATAATTTCAAATAAACGCCTAGCATCACCCTGTGAAGGTAACAGACATTGAAAAAAGGCTTGAATCAATACAATGCTACATCTGATTAAATATACCAGTAACTATCTCAAGAAATGACTAATATTGGAAATCGTCAAGCTTAATTGCTTACCACTAAGGAGGTTTTATCTCCAAATTCTATTCTCAATACTCCCATAGCTCTAATAATAGCTGCCATAGACTGCATTGTATTACTGAACACAACAGGTTTATACTGTGCTCGATCTTCTTCAGAAAATCCACTTTCATGAATGATTCTATTGGGATAAATTGAAAAATAGCGCTCATTGACTATTGATTTAAGAAATGCATTTAATACAACAAATTCACTAACGCATGTCTTAATTTCACTATCCACGATCGTTGATATCGTTGTTAATCAAGTATAAAGTAGTAACGCAATTTATCAATAATTGCAATTATAACCGTAAGCCCATAATAATATAATGATCATATGATGTTATGAATATATCAAAACCGGTACATAGATAATCATTGTCCTTATGAATTACCTCATTTGTTTGACAATTGTACTTTTACCGGATTCACCGGCACCTACAATAACAAGAGATAAAAATATGCCAGTTAGATAACATATTATACTCGTATCAAGATTTAGAAGCTGAAATTTCAGATTTATGGAACACAGTTGCAAGGAGTTATATTCGTGTATAAAAGTAGTAGTAGCGTATTATGGTATAAGTATTGGTCGATATTAGCAACATTTACATACTTAAAACTGTTACAAATCATTTATTCTTGTTCATAAATAGAAAGCGGATCATAATACCGATTCCATTTCGTACAAGATCATTTAAGAGATTAGGTAATATCTTATAATATGCGATATCTTTGAAGTCGATATCAACCATCCAAATGTTATTATCATTGTAGTAAAGTGAATGCAATGGATTAAATCTCTTGAAAAGCTACTATCTAGCGTTTCTATAAAAAAGTGAAGTGGTACTGCGATGTAAGGCAAATTATGTTTTACAAATTTAATGAGCAAAGAGGCGTAATTCCTGTATGATAATTTATTATAATTGACATTTGAAATTAGTATAGGGGAATAATGAGGAGAATAGCATTTAAACTACATAGTACAGTACTGTACTCATGTTAAGTAAACAATGTTTGCTAGCATTCGTACGGCGTATGATATAATAAGCGCGTACAAAGATCATGTCACGTTAATGGTCAAGTCATAATTCAGCTAAAATATTCGCGCGGTTAGAAATGTAAAATATGAATGAGATATTAGTGTGTAAGAGTTGTAGACAAAATCAATTTACATCTATTCTATATAATGTCAATAGATAATACTGTAGAGTACATATCGTCTTATCAAGGTATTTTGCCATGCTATCTGTTCGATAAGGTCAAGATATCGTGATTACTATAAAGCCTAAGTAAAACGAGGTTTCTAGATTGCTAGTACTGCAGTGTAATTGTTCGAACCGAAATAAACAGGGAAAGACTTTAATTTACTACCAGATCTAGCATAGATGGAGTGTCGATATTCAAAAAATAATGATAACTTCATCGTTGACCAATGAATACCATGAAATCATTTCAAAATAAGCACAGAACCTTAGCAAATTATAATCCACCAAAAATTGAAAAATATGTATGCAACCATACAATATCCATATGACTACAGTAAGTACAAAGTTCAACAATTGAATATTTTCTCTTCAATTAATAATTAACGTGCTCAATTTTTTTCTTCATTCTATCATTTTACGACATTAAAAATGTGGTTTCTAGCAACGAATATTGCTAATGTATTTTATCGCGGTACAGAAACATTTTTGACCTCTTTACTTTCAACTTTTTGACATTGAGAATTAAACACTATTTGCACCATAGATTAACTTTAATTAAAACGAATCTTGACCCAACGACTATGTCTTAAAATAAAATGACGGCTTTGAGTTGTATTACGAGCTATATCGATTTATTTTCTTCATGGTGAAGTAAATTTTTGTTTTGTGTTCCATTTATCCTGGTTTCAAATAAGCGGCTACATTGTAGCTATAACTATGTTAGTAAATTTACTACGGATTAATTATCCACCCAACAGAAAGATTACAGTACAAACCTAGGAACCAATCATGGTATTGTACATACGAGCATATTGTACGCATATTACAATATTATAGGTCAATTTACTCTCAATTTGCTCTAAATTTTGTTTTTCGATCATTGCGGCCACTTTTTGTGTAATCGATTGCGAGATGATTGCTAATCAAAAATTTTCTGTTTTATTATTATTTATCATGGACGAAGGAAATAAAAATGCTGTAAGAACGAACGTCTAATACAGTATGAAGTACCGTCGTATGACAACATTACTTACTACATTTATTAATACGGTACAGTAATTAAGACTGCATTTTGACTGTTTTTGTTCAAAATTATACTGTATGTAGTAGGCTAGAAATGTTATAAGCAAGCAAAATAATAACGAAATACTAAATTAACATTGATATACTATTGATAAGTTAGCCAAGTAGACGAATATTACCATCAGCTCTACAAGTAAAGTGAACAGCTAATTTAATATTTGCTAATACCGTAGGCTACAGCAAACTAAGGTATTAGTCGGTAGTTACGGAAATCAATACACTGTAGCCCCACTGCAATGTCTAGGCGAATTAACTTGAAAATGATATTGAATTTGACTGGCCATAACTATCCTTATGACAACTTTTCAACTTCAACTAATTTTTAACGAAAGGAATTTGCTCATTTTCTCCATTTTTTTTTTAATAGATGAAAAATTCAATGATAACTTGCGTTAATTTCAATTTCAACTATTACAATTAATTTTTTCCTTTTTCTTTAATCTTAAGCATGGACTATTAAAACTCTCGTGTAAAATAAGCATGCTTGTAATCAACTCATGTCAAGTTCGATTCTTAATGTTGGACAAACGGGTTGAAAATTTTTTTTCCTATAATTGACTACTCTATACCGATAATGATAGCTAATACTGCAAGTAATTTTCCTATTTGACAGTACTGACCGATAAGTAATATAGGTCCCATTACAATCAATCATTTTACATTGTTTAATAGAAAACAAGAAAAATAATTCTATTTAGCAAGAAAGAAATAAAAAAAAATATGCCTATTACAAAAGACTGTCGTTAAGTGACAAAGGGAACAACATGACAACCTAGAGAAATTTCATTAACCTTATATACGGGTATTACTAAAATTGGCATTGGATGATATCTTTGACACAGAGTATGAAATGCTACTGAATAGAGCATTTCGTAGTTTGTGCCCTAGGCCATGATAAAAAACTCCTATCATGTACGAAAGACAATTTATTACTGTACTATGTTCAATTGAACTGGCTAACAAGACGCAGAACTCAAGTCATGACATTGTCATGGCTGTATCGTTCACTACGAAAGAGTAGAGTCAAAAATAATATCCAATCCACTTGATAGGGATACCGGTAATACTATTCTTTGGCTAATGAACTTGTTGTGATACTATAGCAAGAAAGAGTAATCTATCTTTATTTTATTTAGCACTACATTAAACGAATTGCTCCATCATTTGAATATGATCCAAGTCAGATTGATGGGAAATAACTGAACGATTCAACATTATGATGAAGCAAAATGCTCCTCTCTAAATAAATAAATAATCATCCTTGTCAAATGATGTTGATTTACTGTTGATCATCAAAACAGTCTTCTACCGGTGCTGTACTAACCCTAAGCCTGGTAGTCGCTACAGTAGGGTAATATTCATCAAGACAAGTTGATGAAGGATTATCCTTTTGGAAAAGATCGATTGCACTCATCACTACCACTATGATAATAATAAAGATCATCCTGTTGAAAAAAAAGAAATTGCCATCCATAACTCCTGTAAGATCGAATGGAGTGTGCTATTCTATCGTCCAGTATCAGTTGGCAGCTATTGTACAAGTGATCGAGTAAGGGAAAAACGGCGGATAACAATAGCGATCGGCTGTCTCCAGTCTAGACATCCAATATTGATCAAATCAACGTCTACTCTAGTATCCAAGCTGTTGTACTAAACACTACCCCTTGGCCTTGACACCAACAAAGTGTAGAATAAAAACTGTCAATACTCAGAATAACAAACAAAAAGTCAAGATTATCCATCCACTACTTTCCCAGCATGACAAGCCAAGTGGCTACTAAAATCTTTTCATTTACAGTCATATAAAAAAATTTTAAATTACATCAATTGATTGAGATTGGAGATGAAATTTCTCTCGTTTGAAAAATAATTGACATTAATTGACGATGTGCAAGATGGTTGCATAGTTACGCCATGGTGGATCACCTGGACTGAAACGATCGCAAAGCAAGTCACCCCTTCCTTGTTCGGTACTGATCATGGCTAAACTAGATCGGCAGAGCAAAGACGACATGGCTCGAAAATCAATGTAAAGTGATGAAATAGATTGCTTTGCCAAAGAGGAAAGTTAATCGACGGTCAATTTAATCATGGATCAGGCCGAATCAAATCAAATAATGGGATACTCTTTTCTGCCATAGTTACGTCTATGGTTACGTCAATAGTCCACAGCCATTCGACGACACAGGGTGGTGATAAAGCAAAATCGCACTCACAGTACTATGGACTGTACAGCCACGGACGACCGTGCGACTGGACTCCATTCAGGAGGGTATAGGATTCAAGTCTAGCACGATGGAAAAGTAGTCAAAGGGTAGTGCATTGAACACATGTTCCATACCCCTTATTCAAAAACTGCCCGTTGACATGTTTTGACCTGCTAGAGTATAAAGTACTGTATCGCTAGCGTACTAGGTACTGTTGCGTTGAAAAGACGTCTTGAAAAGCACTTCATTGTATTTTATTCTTGTCAAGAACACGGCACTCATTGTATACTGTTCTATCTTGACTTGGGTATTGAATGCAACATCGTACTATCTTCCACCTTGGAAGATTGTTTTAGAAACGAAAAAATAAACATCACCAAAAATGATGAGAGAGAAATCGATGATGGCGAATTCTAGAACGAATTCAACTCTAGTAGTTAAAAAGTCAGACCAGCTGAACTTGGCAAATTGCTTTTCTACCGTTTGGTACTGTCTCGATAGTGTATAGTACGGTACACAACTATCAATGAGTTGATAACTTGTTATGAAATTTCCCACTCGTTAATCACTACCATTAGTAAAAATGGAGCAAGAAGGGGGGCCGTATTGCTGGGCTGTTCACCGAGTCAACACCAGGTTGTGTAATGCTATTTTGATATGTACTACTGTATCCAATTGCATGAAAATGGTTGACATTTTCTGTACATGGTTTGCACGTACCGAGAAGATACATTGATCTACCGTACCAGTAGAGTACAAAATAAGTTGTAAAGTACTAAGTGAAGGAAACTTTTTAAAAACTACCGTCTTCTATCAGTGACTTCTCCTATAAATGAAATTCCTACATTCAAAGACTAGCTGACTTGCCAAATACGATTCAATGGATATTCATGGGTTAATATTGGACGATTAAAAGTAGAGAAAATAACTTATTGAAAAAAATTGCATGATTGCCATGTTGTCAACCGATGGAATATTGAAAATCGCATGTGGAACGTGATAGAGAGTTGCATACAGGGAATGTAAAACTATTCTCTGTTCAACGCTATCATGTCGAAACTGTCGAGTGTAGTGTAAGAAAGAAAAACTTATTTCACTATCCAAATTGTTGGATAAGGTAGAAAGACTGGTATGGCTTCTTGAATAGGACATGTTTGGAAAGTGATCGGCGGTCACTAAGGCCTTGAAGGCAAGTGTTTATCACCATTGACTTGTACGTTCATTTTCCTACTTTCAACCGATCGTAGAATTGTGTCCCTAGAAGTGGTTGACATTAGCCTACCATACTAGGGTTGGGAATTGCACAGTTGCTATAAAGCAGTTTACAAAGGCTGTTGATTGGGAGAACGGTGTAGCAAAATAAAATCCATCTGTAGTCGATAGACTAAGAAAGTTTGTCATGAGTACGACAGTATACTATCTCAACACTATCCAATGTAGCCCCCTCAACAACAAGGCATTAAGATTAAGCACCGTACAGTACTCGCTCCATCATACGTCCATATCATCCTTTTCAATTTAGTTTGTTTTAAAGCATTCAACAGTGGGTGAAAAAAGTGGGGGCCCCCAAAATAGTCTTGATAGGCAACGAATAGCCCAGCAAAATGACATCCAGTACGATGGGCATTGGTGATGTTCAATTGTAACATGAATTTTATGACTAGTTTGGTGGATAACATTTGAAGGAGGCAAATTTTCAAAGATGGACTTTGTCGATACCAATGTTCCATTGGGTATCGCATTGAAAGTACATAACTTACCCAAAAGCAACAATTTGACTTCTCTAGCCGCTTTCTCTGCATCGGATTTAATTTTTTTATCGATTTCTTTGCTTTTGGCTGCCGCTACTTTATCGCCAGCACTGGCTGCGCAACCCATTGTCGGTTTTCCGAGTTTCTATCCAGTAAAGTATGAATGAATGTGAATAAGATGGAGTGGAATAATCGATGACGATGACAAGGCAAAGTCGAAGAACGACTAAAAAATAAAAGAAATGACTTTTGCCTAATGTTTGCTAGTAACACACTATCACACTGTAAAGCTTTCTTTTCTACAGTCGTTGACTACGCCGAAGCGAATACATTGCGCTACAGTCTACAGTACAGTCTACTCAGTGTCCATGGACCACAAGCCAAATACAGTACTGTACTGTACTGTACAGTACTGTATTGAGCCAGCACGATGGTACTGTAGTGTACTGTACTGTACTTGACCAATGGACAGCAGAGTGCATGTTGATTTGACCAGTGTACAGTACTGTACTGTACACTGTACAGTAGGTCATGGTGACGACTGCTACAGTAGAGTACTGTAGGCAGAACAATGCCACTGCACCTACAGTACAGTACAGTCACGCACTACATTGTACTGTAGAATAAAGCAAAGAAGCCAATTGGTCGACCGTGCGTACGATACGGTCGACCGGTATAGTACTGGACAACAACAGTGGGCATTGTACAGTACAGTACAAGAATCAATACTGTACTGTACTGTACTGTTATTGAAGAAGTGTGCTTGAATACCGATTATGAACATGACCCTCGATTGTACTGGGAGATACGGGAAATTTCGAAATTACGTGCAAACTGCAAAGTTACACAGTATGATCTACAGCACTACGGTGCAGTACTGTACACTGTACAGTACAGTATTATCGTTATCATACCGATGACGGCGCTTCGGTACCGAGAGTGGCAAGAAAGTAAGGAAGTCATTTAGTCGTTTAGCAATTTTGCCCCTATGCTTCTTACTCTTCTTCTGAAGAGCGTTTCCGCTACAGTACAAATGAGACTTATGTATACAGTACAGTACAGTACTGTTACATGTCGTTACGTAGTGCATTATTAATAACGGGGGATATGCATGGTTAGTTACACAGTCTGTGCAGTACAGTACAGTACACTGAGTACAGTATAGTGTACAGTACTACAGGACCAGGACCACTTTCTGTTGGTACAGTACGTTGGTACCATAAATTCGAAATTTCCCGCATCTCCCTGTACAGTATGCCATACTGTACAGTGTACAGTACTGTACACATTGCACTGTATTGTACGCTAGCAAAAAGCAAACAAGCTTTTTCTGTACAGTACGATACGGTGCACCGGTATAGTACTGGACAACAACAGCGGACATTGTCTGAGCCTTCTGGTCCACCGTACTGTACTGTACAGTGTACAGTGTACAGCACAACAATCAATACTGTACTGTACCGTACTGTCTGTACTGTAACTGTGCTTGAATGCCGATTATGAACATGACCCTCGATTCTACAGTATGCCATACAGTCTGTACTGTACAGTGTACTGTACAATAGTCAATACTGTACTGTAAGTGGGCTTGAATGCCGATATTATGAACATGACCATCGATTGTATGCCATACAGCCAGTACTGTACACTGTACAGTGTACAATGCTGTACTGTACACATTGCACATTGTGCGCTACATCATCACAATTGTAGTATTCGGGCCCGGTGAAAGACAAACAAATAAGGACGTTCCATTGTGCGGCTGTAGCAGAACGGGAACGCCCTCCCTACAGTACCTACGCTTTCACGACGAGCATAATACTGTACAGTACAGTACAATGTACTACGCTGGACCGTACTGTACACTGTACACGCCATTCCTTTTTCAATCTAGCGTACAGTACAGTACTGTACACTGTACAGTAGTGCACGACGATCGACAGAAGTCGTGTTAGCAGCGATTGCACAGTACAGTACAGTACACTCAATGGACATTGGACAGTACCGTACTGTACACTCGATTCCTTTTCAATCTACCGTAGTGCACAACGATCGACAAAAATCGTGGTCGCTGCGATTGTACTGTACACTCAATGTTCAGTATACAGATTTTTCTCATTTTTTTTCATGTCAGCATGTTCTACTGTACGAGTACGCTATGAATTGACACGCCAAAGTCTTTTCTCTACCATTCAAACTTCTCCAGCTAAACTCACCACGATATTATTAATGATACTGTACACAGTACTGTACAGCATGTTTTTTCTACAAGAATATACGCAACTACGGTACAGTACTGTACTGTACAGTATTTTCAAAACTACAGTACTGATCGACAGTACTGTACTGTACAGTGTACAGTCTTACAACGGTACAGTACAGTATTTTCAAAACTACTGTACACTACACTGTACTGTACAGTACAGTACGGTACGGTACTACTGGACATTGTACTGTACTGTACTTAGAAAAAAACTCTTTTTCATACGCTGTATAGTGTACTGTATACTGGTACTGCAGTGTCAACAGTGTAACACCATGGTAACACTGGTGTGCAGACTCCGTTGTCGCAATCTGAGTCAGACTGTGCACTACCCCATGCCGAGAGTAAGGTTTTCCAAAGAAGGAGGAGGATAACAGTCCAAGAAAAAAAAGAAAAGGACGGTAGACAGTAGTAGTAGTAGTATCAAGAAGCACAGCACTAATGCACCTGTCTTGTAAGTACTTTGTGCCAATAGGCTTTCAAAAAGCCAAATCTAAAACCATAGCAACGCATAGAAAGAGAAATCGAGCACAGCAATTCTATCCCATGATCAAGACGGAGAGGACTGTGCTGCTATACGACAACTTTCTTCCTGACAAATTACTAGCAAATACCCAATACTCTACTGGTAGAAGTGAAGTGATTAGAATGACCATCATTGACACTAGACCATTGCATTAGAGTAACGCCACAACCAAAAGTAGATTGCATTATCACGCGCAGCATGCGCTTCCACTGTCTTTATTCAATGCCATGACCATACAGACCAGGAATCAGAGACAGTACAGCAGTATGCTGTCAGAAAATAATTTGCTTATATACTGCTTTTAAAATAATAATCCTACCGGTAGTAGTCCCTTGTACAATGGACACACTTATAGGGTACATTATTGTCACAAACCAACTTCGTGACAAGTATAACGTAAAAACAAATCTCTAAATTACTATAGTCTCCGGGATTCAGTATCCCTACTTACAAGAATTTAGACTTCACAGGTTCCTCTTCATATTCTAGTGTGGAAGCCTTCTTATCCTTTCCAATTTGTCGCCCTTTGCCAATGTTAGGTGCTACGGAGTCTCTTTTCTGTGCTTCAAATTGATCGACTGCTAACATCAGTTCTTTCCAGCTCTGCGGCTGTCTCACTTGCACATATGTTAACAGAGCAAAGTTCTTTGCTCGAGCCCATTCCTGATATTGGATTTCCATTATGACAGTATCTTCCACAGACTTGCTACTTGTTGCTATCCATTGCTTCAAGTAATGCATTCTCTTTCTTCCAAATTCACTGAAAGATTGCTCATCTTTTCTTCGTAGCGTAAAGAATTTCCTACAGAACACATCTGATGAAATTACATAAGCCTGAAGGATTATCTGCCTTACATGATCAAAATCCTCCTGCTCGTCCAACGTCAGTTCCCTGAATGCTTCGAGAGCTGCACCAGTTAATAAGGGTCCTAAACGAGCTCCCCACTCATGTCTCGGCCATCGATTGACTGTTGCTGTCTTCTCAAACATGTGCAACCAGTTATCTACATCTTTGTCTTCCGGGAGTGGTGGAATATTTATTTCCAAATAATCCCGTCTATTTTGATTATTCAATAATTGTTGTTGTAGTAGTACCATTTGGCTTAGGATTCGCTCCAGTGTTTGTTCTCGCCCTTGAGAAACATTTTCTTCAGGCCTTGGTTCAGTACGAGGCTGTGCACTTGCACCAAGAAATGCTTCGGCTTTTTCAGTGTCTTTCTGTAAAATTTTCCTAGCCAAAGTAGCGGTTTTTGAATTTCCGATATGTATGCCTAAACCTTTAGCCATACTTTTTAATTGTTCGTCTGAAAAGTTTTCCAGCTCCTCTAGCCGGCTTTCTTCCTCGTTCGTAAGACTGCGCAAATTGGTCTTCGGCGTGGTTTCAGACATTCTAATCAGTGTAATAGCTTTTATAAAATTTAATATACTAACGCAATATTGCTGGATTCCCCACACGGATTCCAATTTCTACCAAATTTTCACAAAATTCGGGCCTAAATTGGTGGCAGCGGTGGGATCCGAAAGAGGAACCAAGTGTCGAGAACTCAGGCCCAAATTCTGTGAATGGACATATTGTAGTCCGACTGTGAAAAACTAGTTAGTAGATGTTCTCACTCAAGTATTATTATAAGATGACTTGTGAATGTTAGCTGCTGTAGAAGGGTATATAAACCCGTCAGATAGTTGAATAAAGCAGTTCTCAATTGTATAGTTGTTTTAACGTAGAATCAAAGGCGTCTAAATTCTTGTAAGTAGGGATACTGAATCCCGGAGACTATAGTAATTTAGAGATTTGTTTTTACGTTATACTTGTCACGAAGTTGGTTTGTGACAATTATACACAACTTGGAAGTGAAGCATAGAACAGCACACATATCAAGTACTACTGAAATAGTGTGAATGCCATCGGCTACCACATCAATTCCCTTACACTGTAATGAGCGGCAGTTTGCTGGCACTCCATATCTTGCGTCAATTATCCTACAAACTCATTTTACTCGTTTTACGGTGGTACTAGTATAGAGTAGAGGAGGATAATCAAGAATGTGTAGAATCATTTCAGCTGAATATTGGCAACTACAAAGCAAACTGCCTCACACCACTCTACTGTGTATCGTGTATAGTCAGTGATCTATTTTGGCACTCCCTTCACTGCTGGTACCACAGCTCCAGGGAAGAATCTAAATTAAGTAAATAAATAAATAAGATAGAAAAAATATTTCGCCGCTTAAAAACGGTACTTTATATTAGTACAGTACTTTACTAACTTGAAGGTTCAGAGCAATTCGTCAACTGTATCATTAATTGTACAATGTACAAGGACAAATTCAGATTCCCCCCCCCCCCCACCGGCCCTCACCAAAAAAATGGATATCACTCTGCAGTCGCGCTGCTATAAGTCCATTTACTGCCACTGCTATTATACGCGGGTAGACACAACTGATTCCTCTATCCTTCTATAGACTATGGATAAAACTAGAACATCACTCTAGATATCATATAGTCTCCTATGGAAGCAAATTGTTTCCTTCCATCAATGAAAAATGAAATGACGGATGCGTAAATTTGCGGTAACGCTACAACAACTGATGAACACGGCTACAGCTAGCAGAAAGCGATTGAAATGGAATTTATATTTGGGACTTGATGCATTGTTAAACAAGCCTAATGCAATAAACTGTATCGTTTAGTAGATGAAAATGAATTAGTTAATCTACTGATGGGTGATGAAAGCAAATTGACACCTGCTGACGGTACGATAGGATTACTTTACTTGCCGAACTTACAGTGGAATAGTAAGCTAAAGAATAGGCAAGCTTGTTTGACTTGAATCTCAATAAATCTGATTTTAGCTTGCTACCTTAGACAAATTAGTCCTTATTTATATCAGCTATTTAACCACTATTGTAGGTCAAAGACTACCAACAACTTTCGCCAACATTATCATCTAGATTATCACAGGATTCTTAATTTACACCACGGACAAGGTCATGGTAAGCGAAGAAACACCTCGTTATTATGCTGTAGATCAATCATTATTTGTAAAGAATAGTCAACCACTACGATACGAATATGTTAATGACCAGCAACAGTGGATCCCTTCTATTTTCATCTTAACATCATCTACAGCTATACCACGCTTTATTATCTTCCTACATGTTCACACTTTTATCCTTCAAATCTTAATGTCATGGATATCAATTTATTGCTCATGGCAGCAAAGTGAACAACTTGCTCTATATTAAATAACCAACGTATTATTTGCATCATAATTGTTACTTCAATAATCTATGCGTATTTCGCGAGATAAATGGCAACACTTACCGCAGTATTAGCTTACAAGCATTAATAAAATTGAAGATCAGAAAAAAAGAATAATAATACAATGAAAACGGCTAGCATAATTAATTTGTAAAGAAGAAATCAATTATTGTACCATCCAATTTATGCGACGTAGCCCAACATAGAAATTATGACTAACTAGTATTTCATACTATTCCCATTAGTGTGGTAAAAGCAATACGTTTATTCTACTTTCAAGTGCTTGTTTATAGCCATTCTACATTAAAGTTAAATACTACAAATTCACTTGATGCCGTCCATACTCCAGATGTAACCACCAGGATGTATGAACAATACGTAAAAACAATTTCCGATCGTAAAATCAAATTGTATACCAACATGAGGTAGTTTAAAGTGAGCCAAATCAAATCGTAATGTATCTGATTGATCATAAGTTATAATTCGATGGATAATAATGAATTATCTATAATTATCAGCTATCATAAAATAAAGAAAAGTATGTACGCGTAGGTACTGTATTCGATATTAATAACAAAAACTCACTGTTAGCTTATAGATTAGTTCGAATCTTTACAAATGAGTACTAGTCCTATTTGAAATGAATGCCATTGTAGTATCAGAATTTCTTGCTAATTGTTAAAATAGGCCACAATCTTTCAGGTTATTCTTGATAATAACATCGGTTACTGCATCAAATACAAATTGAATATTGTCCGTATCAGTAGCACAAGTGAAATGGGTATAAATTTCTTTAGATTCTTTCTTTCTGTTTAGATCTTCAAAAACAGTCTGAATGTACGAAGACGCTTCCTGATAATTATTAGCACCTAAAAGTTACGAATACCGTTAATATTATGCCCCAATTGATGATAATTTACATCGTATCATCAAATAAATAAAGTCCCGTAGCAAATAATTCTCCTTTCTTTTAGAAGATAAACAGATTAAGCAAATTGAAGCGCAAGTTACGATACAATTCACGCATAACGGCAACTACGGATGTAAAATATCCAATATAGCAAACTCTATTGCCGGCTATGCTGCTATTAAACAATTTATTTGCTACATTTGAAACTTTTAATAAAGTATAAAATCAGAATGCAGTAATTTAAAATAAAATTTATCATTAATACGGTATAGTATCTTTGCATCATATTTAGTAGTGAGGCATAAACGATTAAACTCCAATTTAAGAATTTGACTATGCAATATCTTAAATCTGTAGTTTATCCAATACCAATACTAAATATTAAATTAATATTTCGTGATTATATTATAGCTGCTGCCATACGGTATTATAAACTGATTGAAGTCAAGTAAAGATTACCGGATTGATATATAATGAGTGTATACAGCTACAGACAGTATTTACGTGTATTAACTTATAAAAGTAATTATTATTTGCAACGCTCAGAATTTCCTCAACCCACAATTATGGCGATCCAAACACTTTGATTAACATTGTAATCAAGTCTAAATGAAATAAAATAAAGATAGGTATACATTTAATCTAACATAGTTAATACTGTACCACTGTATTCAGGAAAGCATAATGTTAGTGGAGATACAGCTATCTTTTGCTGAAACAGATCTTTCTTGTTCAAAAATAAGATTATTGAAGTTTCTTCAAAGAATTGATTGTTGCAAATTGAATCAAATAGCCGCATACTTTCAACCATACGATTCTAATAATGCAAAGATAATAAATCACTTCGATGAGTATCATATGGTTTAAATTGATATTGACAACGTAATAATAACCTAACAGCTAGATCTAATCGATAGCCTATTAGCTTATCTATCGGTGACATTCATATACCTGTTTTGTAGATTAAGAAATCTACAATACTTGATATATATATATATATATATCGACACCTTAACTATTAAATCTCACTGTTACCAACTTCTCTTAAAAAAGGATAGAGCACATTTAAATCTTTCAAGAAATTACTAAATGGTAGAGTGCCTTTTACTTCATAATGATTACAATCTTTTTGGCAGTACAAATTTTTAGCAAATAATCCACAAAGTACCACTCAAACAACACTAACTCTGATTGTAGTCAAGTAAATCAGCTATAAATTATATGTGGAATTATGCAATGGTTTAGGTATCGTAGGCTGAACACGACAGTAAGATACAGCAAAAAGAATTGAAGATTATGAAGAAAGTTAATCTTTCCAAATCGCTTCAGCATATTTTAATTCAATGAAAGCCTAAACCCTCCCTGAAATCAATATCCTACCAATGTAATACAATAAATGAGTATACTTTTATCGGTATAATATTGAAAAATCAACAAAACTACGCGTATTATTGATATACATCTTTGAATAATCTAAAATATAAATTTCATACATTGTTAATGCGAAATAAATAATCTACAGTAAAATATTACCTTGGACTGTGGTATTATAAGCTAATCGTACAATATTGCACTTTTACAGTATAGAAATTAGAAAGTGCTATAACCCTATCAAGTTACGATACTAATCTTAGTATCTAATTTATTGAAAAATCTCTCCGAATTGGCAGTTGTATCTAAGCCTAAAATAACTATTATTCTACGGTATACGTATATGTGTTGTATCTTTTACTCCAATTGTTCATACTTTTATCATAAAAAAGAATCATTTATGCCTTGCGTATGAGTACAAGAGTATTATTATAGCATCTTCAATCATTATAATGGACGGTCAATTTTCACGCAAATGATTTATTATTTTTCATTTAATAGGCTTAAGGGCATAAATAATATTTACGGTGTGTATTTACTACTTCGTACTTTAGATAATGTAGTATAGAAAAACAACATTGCAATTATATTTACATAATAGCTAAGGTCGAAAATTTATTTCATCAACGCATGATGTTTAAAAGATAAATCGTGGTCTTAAACTATAGTAGCTGTAGTAAACACAGAAAATTATCTCAGCCTTTATAAACTTATAGATACGGCAATTCTTGATATACACGATCAAATTGACTATATCAACTGATCCGATATGACCTGATTACATGATCTGAAATTAAATTTTCAGTAATATCGTGACGATTAAAGAAAGCTTCTAGGCTAATACTATAGAAAATAATTATCGATCAAGCTCTGAATAATGTCAGTGTTCCAATCTCTCGTTATAAGTTAAATATTTGTAACTCTACTTGTAAATTTAACTTACCATTTCTTCATCTTCCGCCAGTTTTAAATCATATGCGCTCAATGAAACACAAAATATTATGGCTGTTACACCTTCAAAACAATGAATCCACTTTTTCCGTTCGCTTCGCTGGCCTCCAACATCTACCATTCTAAATTATTTGCATATTGTTAATGACTATGATAATATTTATGAAAAAAACATCGTAAATACCATAAAGTATAGTATTGAGTAAAAACTGATAACAGTATTACGGAAACAAGAGCATGCTTATCAGTGGATTATATAACTATTACAATCTCTAATTGCTTCTTAGAAAAAGCAAATTGACTAGGTTAAGTAATCTACTATGATCGTTTGGAAAAGTAATTACTTAAAACGAAAATCCCTGAAAGAAAATTGTGTCTCTACAATTCCGGTTGTTTTCACTCTTGTCCTTAATACGTCTTGTTGGGTCGGAATATAATTTGACGTTCCCAGGCGATCGATATCATTCAAATAACTAAATTATATTGCAAGTATTCATCAAATCAATCAACTTAATTAATCTAGTTGCTAAAAAGCATGAACATGTCGTAAAAGACAATTAATCTAATCTTTTTCGTGGATAAAATACCAAGAGATTAGTCATATTTACGCATATTTCTTAATTTATATATTAAGCATGGCGATATCGTCATAGAAAAAACCGGGCACAATTTTCAATGAGATTTACGAATGTTCATTTCATAAAAATATAGAGAGTTTAGAACTTACTATCCTGCAGAATCATTCAACTGGTATTCCCTAGATCGCTTGAAAGACTCTTGGATTCCATTATCCGCCCAAATAGTCTTCATAAGAGTCAGTAATTTTTTACTTAGTTCAACACTGTCGCCTTGGCGTTCAATCATACTAAAATATTCCTTAGATAAATCCTATTGCAAACCGAATGAAGTATAAGGAAAGGATTTAAAGACAAATATCGATGCATAAGCTTCAAATTTGTCATATTTATTATTTATTCCTAGGTATCCTATCTAATTGGACTTGATACCTGTTAATAGCACTAAAAGAAATATTGTAATTGATAAACATGTTAAGGTTAGTACTGTATAAATTAATATCAGTAAGGAAATAAAAAAATTACTATATAACAATAAAGCTCTTTAATAAGAAATTTTCTGGTTAGAGTGTTGATAATTAATTGATAAAGAACAGTATCAAAATAAATGTATGCATATTCTTTATTTTATTTAATTTCCATCAACTAAAATAATTACTGTCGTGAAATGCATCGTATATATAAAATTATCTGTCACTTTTGTTAAGTTACTGAGTAGTTTCTTTTAAATGTAAAGCTAGAAACGAATCAAGAAATTTATAAGCTAAGCCGGTATATTTAATCAATAATTGTAGCATAGAATTATTTCCTAGCTCTACCGAAATATTTTTAACCCAGTAATAGTACAATAAATAAAAACAGCAGCATTTAACTTTATGCCTTGAATTACTTATAAATCCGTATTTCAAAGAATGACGATAATTTTATAGAAGCTTACAGAATGATTATAGAATAATTATTACAAGATATATGAACATAAAATTGGTTATACCTTAAGTGATGGATTTTCAAACGGTATACCTAAGGGACCGCAAGCTCGAATAATTGTCGCCAACGATTGAACAGTATTATTATAGACGACTGGCCTGTATTGCACGCAATCCTGTTCACTGTAGCCTTTTTCATGGATTATTCTATTTTTAAACAATAAATCAGTAACGTAATTTATTGGATGTCACACAAATAATGACATATTGCGATTAATAAATTCGCTATGTTGCAGAATATGAAATACTTTCTACAGAAAGAATACTACAAAAGTAATGACTAGATGATAGCCGCTATGGCTACTGTCATGGTTGGCTGATGGACCGAACCCAAATAACAGTTCATGACAACCAGAAAAGAAATACTGGTCTATGTATCGTTGATTATTTAATATATGAACGTATATACATAATAAGGTAATTGCAGTTTCGCCATTGTCATATTTTTTATATTAACTCTCATTAGATATAACCTAGTACTGTTTAAGAGTTATAAAACGACTTTTAATTGCATCTTAACATAAACGGTAATTATTACCTCATTTGCTTAACGATAGTGCTTTTACCCGATTCTCCAGCACCTTCATTAGACAAAATTATAAATAAGGTTTAAGTATAAAATATGATTTAGTTATGAATGTTAAAGATTTATTCTATATTGAATAATTATTTCAGTTGAATTATTTATACATGTAGCTGTATCATCTTGGGTTCTGAAGATGATTGACAGCTACATAGTAATTAAACTTATTTGATAGTTAAATAGACTAAAGTCTTTTACATTATACAAGATACAATACATGAATTATATCATCTTGTAGAAACACATTTTTATTTACGAAAATATTTGATAGGAAATGCATTCATTTTCGAGGATGAAGCACTAAATTAGTTAAATTCACTATTAATTTTATCCTAGAAAATAATAGAAAATATTTAGTTTCTGGCAGATACAATGGAAATCTTAATGGAAATAATATTCATGATCAACGATTTCAATACGGTATTGTGATATCCACGTAATAATTAGAGTCTTTAGAATGATTTAGGGGCACTTTCGTTACTTTAAAATTTCAACAATAGATAAATTGATAGCAATATTAATACCATCAATTAAAAAAAAGTGTAATAAAATGCATGCTGGTAACCGATTTAATGATCTATTGCATTTTACAACACTTAACTTTTAAAATTAAGGTTTAAAATAAAATCCGGATTTTAGATATTATTGTGTTATAACGTATTTGCAAGGATGGAAGGAGAAGAATGAGCAAATTTTTATTTTCTATAACATAAATAATTCGAATCTACCTAAATGAAGATACACCAATTATACGCCTACATTATGACAGAATCGAAATCTTATCCTGTAAAAACCTATCGGTATTATGGCCTCTCGTCATTATTGTATATCAAATAAATTTCATACAATCGTCATCATCTTTATATACTTTTCTTAATTCTAAGGTTCGATTACTTGACCGTACTTTACTATTTAGGCAACATTGCCGAAGGAGTAAAACTTCAAGTTAGCAATTGCAATGTTTACGCCTCCACATAACTATTTTCTTTTGTGCACTATGCTTTATGAAGTTGCATTATACATCTTTTTAAGTCAACATTAAACTCTTACATTTTAAATTTATTTAAAAGAAATTAATTTATCAAGAATAATACCTTAGTGTGCTATCTAGATGTGCAGGTTTAGCAAGTATATATACATTTACATATTGTATGCTTTTTTAATGCATAATTGTGGGCTATATGTGGACATATACATTAATGATAGAAATTGTAATCGCCGGATATCATAAAAGTTGGACTTAATTAGACTTAATCAAGCTTACAGTGTATACTTTTCTGTTAGTGAAATAAGATTCTTGCTACGTATAATATAACTTAAGAAGTTTGTTAATTAAAATATAAAACTTTCTTAACTGTAGTGCCAAAAAACACATAACATAAAAAAAATAAGACTATAAATTTATACAGCATGTCACTGCAGTAATTATTGTAAATTATCAGCGCATCAAGGACAATATCGTAATTGGCATATCTGTGAATAATACTAATTATTTGCTACCGGACACGAAGAATAAGTTTTATGAAAATTGTAATGCATTTCACCATGGAATACTTTGTAGCCAGCACTAACTTTGCTCCCAAAACTATTAAAGTTTTAAGTAAAATATCAGGACTAGTATTCTTACAAACAACGTAATTATATAGGATGATTAAATCTTTATATTTGATAGGGATCATCTATTTAAATAATGATAAAATTCCAAGTACATATGCAAGTATTAATATTCATTTATATTCATTTCGGAAACTGATATTTCCATGGCAACCAGCAGAATATCTTAAACTTTACTAATTATATAAAATGTTACTGCTAGTATTTTACAGATAACAGAATCTTAATTATCCTTGATACACCGTATGATATTTTAAAATAACGAGAAACATATCAAGTCAATAAAAATTTGATCCAGATAGATAGTTATAAGTATAATGATTGGATTGTGAAAGTGCAAGAAGTAAAAAATAGATTTACTTAATTAGCTTCGTTCAAATCTTGTTTTATCCGTTTTTTGGATAGTAAATGAATCAGTTTAAATAAGATTATGGGTTGGGTAGCTTCAACAATATTCACTTATGAGTCTTAATGATATTGCCAATTAGTTATCAAATTTATCACTAATCATCACATACATATCCTTTAGTAAAATCTATCTATAAAACAATTTTACCGCTTTTGGTGTTATTTTTTTTTAAACGGGCTGTTTCACAATGCTAGTTATTGAAACAATTTTAATGATTTTGTTCGTATTTTATAGATAATATTCTATTTATTATTGTCGTGCTGTTTTCGCTCAAATAGTTAAATTTTCTTACAGTACTAAAGTATCTTGTTTAAACTGGATGGTAATAAGTTATTATGATTACTATATAACGATTTAATAAAGCATGATAAAAGCAAGAACATCATCAATTTAGTACCTAACAGAAGCAATTTTACTTCTTTAGCTGATACATCGCCGGAGGCTTTCAAATTTTTATCAATTATTTTACTTCGTTCTGCTGCGGCTCTTTCATCTTTACTTACTAAGCAGCCCATTGGTAAAACTATTTAAACAAATGCTTGTAATTCTTTCTGCTAATAGCCTGATAAACCAATTTATAGTAAGATAAAAAAGGAGAAATCTTATTAGTGTAATGGATAAGTGAATCTATGCTGTTCGGGCAATGATAATGCTGACAAAATTATTAGAATAATTTAAGAATGTTAATATAAGCATGGCTGCTGATCGTAGATTAATATCAATTTGCGTAAGTAAAAAAATGAAACATTAAAAAGTTTAAATATTAAAATAATGAATTGAGAGCCACTTTCGTCTCTTTACTGCAGATTTGAAATGACGTAGAGCTACCTTATTAACATTTCTGTTCGACTTTCTAAACACATACGCATAACACATAACAAAAAATAATGCAAATTAATTTATGAAGGATATATTGTGAAGGTATTTTAGCAAAATTGGGTAAAATTTAGTCAAAGTTAAAGTCAATTAATGTCCCAAAAAAAAATTACAATGAGAAAAATTCATTTATAATTCAGTTAGCTACATAACTACTTTGGAAGATATGATCATTATAATGTGTTGCTATCCATTACCAATAAAATAATCGGAGTTCCATATTACTTGCTTGATGTAGAGTAATTAATATTTGGGTAGATAGCATTAAGCGATATTGATATTATTGCTATCATCCACTAATAGTCATCACGCAAGAAAAATCAATATCTATATGTGCAATGTAAAAATATGGTAAATTTTCGATGTCTAGTTTATTTATTTGCAACAAGATTATTATTAGCATCAATGTAAAACTATACAGAGTATAATCATTTTCAAATATCAATTTTCTTACCTAGTGCACTTAATAAAACTTTACGAGCGAGATAATATTTTGAGATCTTTTTGCATATGCATAAAATTGGTATTACAAAGCTTATCACGATCAGATTCGTCATGTAATATTTGCTAATGCAATACTAGGTGATGACTTTAAATTCTAATCCAAGATTAGACTGTGATATATTGACAGCATCAAACGTCTGAATCGAAGTTGAGTATATTTGGAATAAGGAAGCAACCGAATAAGAGAAACAATAGGGTAGATCTAAGCTAATACGTATTGGACAAAACAATAAACAAATAAATTCACATCCACCTGCTTAGTAAAATATTAATCAAGAGTGACCAATCACGTGGTTAATAGCTAAAACAGAACAATAATGTATATTTCTATTGATTTAAGTTATTTATTAGGCTTTCAATTAATTTCCAATGTCGTCGAAAATTTTAATAGATAATGGTGATGGTTATAATGGAAAATGTACCTATCATGATAGCCACTCTATTCAATTTTTTATTTAAATTTTTAGTGTTCGCTTAGTGAATAGCTAACAAATTGCCGGTTGTAGCTTCAACCGATTATTATCAGCAATAAATGTTTGATTTCTCCGCATAATTTAGGTGGATTTATGATATGAAGGGCCGTATAGACCTAAAGATATCGCTAACTAAGAATTAATAGTATAATTTCAGCCATCTTTTATTATCTGTTTATAGTACTTCTACAACCAGTTACTCATACTTATAATTTATTTTAAGCATCAGTTAAGAATTTTTAATCTTCAATAATCAAAATAGAGAATATTTATAATATTTACCGTTATGTTACTATATTTATACTGCTATAGATTTTGGTACGTAGCCAAATGCGATTGCAAAGATTTTTCAACTACTTTAACGGCTACTACCGTTAGCACAATTTTGGTATACGTTATAATGGAATAAGATACCGCAGAAAAGCTACTGGTAGCATTGTTACTTTAAATTCCCTACATTCAAACATTAATCTTAATCGATCAATTTTAGGCAAATTAATGCATCCACTGCTTATTTGCTTGTGTTTGTTCCCTGTCTTTACTATCTAATTTTAAAATAAGAAAGCAAGTATCACTTATTATGCTAATCCTGAGTGAAACCAGAATATAAAAAACTAAATTAAACTATCCTCATAAAAACATCTAATAAAAGTATTATTTCTTGAAAAGTAATCCGCTTTATAGCCTAGCTATATTGATTCTCTTACCTTGCATTAGATTTGTATAAAAGTAAACGCAGCCTAAGTAAAAATATTGTGTTAGGCTTCACTCTTTTAAAGTGATAGGACATTGAAAGTTGAAATAAATTTACCATATTCTATTAGCAACTTATCCTATTTCGAATAAACCGGATATTATTTATAAAATCTGGCTTACATCGAATTATTCTGTTGTCCTCTTTTACATTATATTATATTATTTAAGCTATTATATCATACTGTAGGCATAAGAATAACTAAATTACCGTAAGTGCTACTTTTAGATCCAAACTATCCAGTAATATTGGCTATAGATGAATCAGCTACTAAAAAAATATCTTCAAATGAGCTATCCTTATTCATTACGAATTGTGATAGCCAATGATATATTTGCTTGTTGATACCAGATATTGGCTTTAAAGCAATCATAGATGGGAACAAAATAAGTAAAGGTGAAAATTCGGGATTGTCTTCTATCTGTTAAATGCGTAGCTTTCGTGGTACAAACCACCGTAAAGCGTAAATGACTAAGTTTAGTGGTTAAAATTTATATACTGTATAAAGATAAATAATAATGACTTACAGTAACTACGGTAGTTTTTATTTTGTTACAGTAAATTATGCTGTACTGTAGTAAGAGTTCTCATACGGAAACTAATGTTAATTGATTATAGTGTTATGTCTTGTAACGCTTATGATGAATATCCTGAAGATATTCAATTATAGGTGATACTATAAATAATTCTGTGTATGCACTACTGTAATCTAATTACCTAGAATCATTCAGTACATATTTAAGATTATGAACAATTTCTGTATTAATTTAGCTATCAAATATGAAGTAAATTTCATGGACTGGTATAACAAATGCATGATAGCTGTAGCTGAAGGGGTATTTAAGCTTCGCAGATAATTGTATAAAAGAAGAGTTCTATAGTTGTCAAACGTAGAAGCAAAGGTGTCTAAATTCTTGTGAAATAGTTCTAGTTAAGGGATACTGAATCCCGGAAACTATAGTAATTTAGAGATTTGTTTTAGGTTATCTTCACCGCGAGTTTGGTTTGTGATTGTGACAGTAGCTTTAGCAGATCGAGTGACTACGGCGCGGAAATTGATATCGTCATTTATTTTCAAAAATATCATCACTTAGACTAATTAATTATAATTATTGTCTGCATTTTTGGGGACTCAACCAGCTCTAACTTTCATCTCATAATAGCTATAAATATAGGTAATTATAGGTGTTATGAATGCGTATAGATATTTTATATTCTGGGAATGTAATTCTAATCTGTTCCATTAGTCAATTTCGTTGAGTCACGGATGATTTGATCAAAACATAAATGGAATTGTAGAAATTTTATCGATGGTTCTGTTCCTTAACTTGATCTACCATAGCGGTTTTCACATTACGGAATAATCACGGAGTTAACTTAAAATTATATGATAATCTTTATTTATCAGTTGAAAATCAAGACAAAATTAATTACCAGCATTTTATGATGATCTATTGATCTTATAGCGATCTTTCTACCTTATGCGAACCTCACCCACTTTCGTTACCCTTGCTTCTGAAGTTGCAAATAAAGCCAAAGAATTGTTAAGATTGCTACATTAGCAACACATACAGAGCTTGATCTTTGAAGTAATCAACCAATGATGATAACTGTATACGAGTATTAATTGCAAATGTTAGCCTAAACTGATGTCTGTATTCTATCCAAGTTAAATTCGTAATGGATACTACTGGGAGTCGTCGCCCTTATATTTATTGATAGAGGATGCAGAATTGAGCATTAATGACTAGAACCTTTCTTATTTGATCAAGACTAAAGTGAAAATCACTGCAAGAAGCTCCCCTTCTTAGTGATTTGGCTTGAAATTAATATAGCGATTTAATAAAAGGATCTCTGACTTTCTTTATAACTCCGACAAGATTATCGTTATTCACAGGATGCAAGTTGCCTTGTCAGCTGGATTAAGTTTGAACAGTTTTGCAGTGCCAGAAAATTGTTAATGGAATGAGTACCAAGCCTGTTTATAAGTAACACGTGCTCCTAGCCGGCAGTCTAGCGCGTAGTTTTTATCGGGATTAAAAGTCAAGACATTTAATTTGTTATACCTTAATTGTAGCTCAAGTAATTCGACGTACTAACTTGTCTCAGTTTTATGTCACGATAAAGTCATATTGGGTTTCATAATGTGGAGCTTTTACTGTTCTCTATGATAAAATTGGCATCACTCACCTATATCAGCTACTGTAGTATTACAAAAGCTTAACGGTTAATTATTTCTTGATTGCAGTATGAATAATTTAATAGATCTTAGTATCATATACTATATCATTTCTTTGATTTAGATTCAACTAAACAGTTTAAGTTACGTAAGAAGAGAAGATGATACGAAATTTCAGATTTTATACATATACAGTACGTCCTCTAGAACCAACTACAAAATTTAGTATAGTTTTAATAACATAATTTTGTTAAATTTTACACACAACAGTGGCCATATTATCTTTAAAGGTAATCACTGATGGTCTTAGAAACAAAAAACAACACTATGACAAAATACCTGTAGGAAAAAATAAAAATGCATATAATTTTTTCTATCAGTTCAGTTTTGATCTTATGAGGTAATAATTTCAAGATTTAGTATATTTGACTAAACGCTCAAGAAATTATTAAGAAATAATACCTTGAGAAAGTTAAATATTTATATTTCAGCCTTTCTGTTTTTATTACCAACCCTTTTTATGCCTTATCTTAAAAGTGTTACTCTGGAAACTTTATGAAATACCCCAATTATCAAAATGGCTTAGTTTATATTTATCAAATATACCTGTTAGTCCAAATTACTTTACGAAAAAGCTAAAGCAAGGCTTCTTATTATTTATAGTCAATGTATTAATTTAAACTTTCAAATAGATGAACCGTAATTAATTTCAAAAATATCTTAAAGTAT